TTGTTGCATTCAGAGTTTGATAATGGACATTGAATCATTCTGATAATCAAATAAGTTTATGTTAATAAGTTAATAAGTTTTGTAGCTTTTAGACATGCTGAAAAGAATTTGAGTTTCTATTCAAACTCAATACTTCATTGAGATTCTGAAATGTGCGAGACTGTTGCTCATTAAGCCGTGTAGATGTAAGCTCTCATCATGTTAATGTAATATAATGATTATGTGTGTTTCGACCCCTTTTGACCCTGCTTGAAGAGCGCTATTTCTGTGCTGATTGTTCATGGTCATATGGGGCTGAATTAGGAGAATATGAACCCTTTTCTGTTGTTTCAGCATAATTATAATCTTAATTCTCTATGTTATTTAGCAGGTTTAATGGTTCATAAGGCAGGAACGAAGCCAAACTCAACTCAACAGCTGAAAGTGCGTGTGTGTGTGTGTAAGTGGTCCTGTATGTTATGGGGAGAAAATGTCCCTACAAGGATAGTAATACCAGTCATTTATGACCTTGTGGGGAATTTTTTTTTTTTTTTTGGTCCACATAAGGAAAACAGCTTATAAATCATAGTAAATTGTGTTTTTTTGTTGTTTTTTTTATGTAAAAATGCAGAATGTTTTCTGTGATGGTTGTTTAGCGGTAGGGTTTAGGATAATGGATAGACTATACAGTTTGAACAGTATAAAAATCATTATGTCCATGGAAAGTCCCCATAAAATATGGAAACCCAACATGTATGTGTGTGTGTGTGTGTGTGTGTGTGTGTGTGTGTGTGTGTGTGTGTGTGTATACAGTGTGCACTGCTATTAGATGGCGCCATCTAGTGACTGAAAATACCAGGTTAAAGAAACGACTATAAGAAATGAAAAGGAAGCCCCCTTCACAAGGAAAATGTTATGATTTTATTTAAATGTATATTTTGTTAAATATAAGTATATATATATTATACTGTTCATATCAATTAAATTTACCGTATTTATACTATCACTCAACAGAGGCTTTATTAGTTAGACACCAAATGTTGATTTGTATTCATTTATACGCGTTTAGAGCAAATTACAATCTTTGTTGATTACAAAAAAAGTTAATCATTTAAATATTTTATTCTAGATGCATTTGACGCGTTTAAAAGTTATTTTTATGCTAAAGGTATGACAACTACATAAGATTTTAGGCTACACATTTTAAAGGTGTCATGACATGAATATAGAATTATTATTTTAATGTTCCTATTTTGCACACACACACACACACACACACACACACACACACACACACACACAGGTGGAAAAAGGGTTATTTTCAACCCTCATTCTGACTCTGACTGTGTCCGAAAACCAGGATAAGGAGGTAGGAAGGTAACCAGGCACGTCCGAATCCAATGTTCGAGCCACATCCTGTCTCCTGAGATACCTTCACCTGAGCGAATTTTGCATAGATGGATCCTACGCTGCCTTTGATATCCCACAATCCTGTGCGTTCCATTCCCTGACTGTTGAGCTAAAAAATAAAGATGGCATCTGAAATTTGAGGTTGGTGGTCAGTTTGTGTAAAGTGTACATTTTGACCAACTTTTCCCACTTTTGATGACATTTTAGTATTGTAGTAATTAAATATTCAATTAGTTGTCACCAAAGCTCTCTGTTTTGTTATCGATCATCAAATCGTGATGCCTCAGAAGTCCGTCTGAAACCAGTTTCGTGAGGTATCTTAACGTGTAAACGCTGGCTGCTAAGTCATTGCCTGGCAGGGCAGCGAGGCAACAAGTCACCGCCTAGGTTTTCAGAAGCAGCCTCTTTCTGAAATTATCTTTGCTTTTAGGGGTTGCTCCTTTAAGGCTTGTCAGTAACCACTGGTATGATTGGCTATTGCCAGAGCCATAGAGAGAAAGAGTTGCGACACTCTTTGATGTCGCCGCGACGGCTGTCACGTCACGTGGTTCATGTAAGCCCCAATAGTTCCAAAACGTACGCGGGCTGTCATGTTCTTCTATGGACAGACAGCAGCGATTGCATTATTAAACGGTAAATATAAAATAAAACACACACCCAAGTACTTTTTAAGCTGTTATTGCGTTTTGTTAATGTCAGTTTTGCATTTGGAGAGGCAGGGTGACAACTTAGATAAGTTTTAGGCTATATTTTTGGAGGGAAAAGCTTAGTGTTCATGTTCGCATGGGTAGTAATAGCACTGGCTTTAGCGGCTCTAACTTAACTTTTCCATGTCATTCATCTGATGATGGACGTCTCATGATATTTATTTTAGCACAACTGGGCTGTATTAGGCTATTGATTCCCGTGATCTTGCTTAAAAATTCCGATTCAGCCATTAGCCTACCTTCGTGATCACGCAAAGAGGTCTGCAGTCCGTTCAGAACTCCAACCAACATAAAATATAAATAATTACGCTGTGCATGTACAAATGAATGATTTAGGAGGGAAATAGACTGCTCCCATAACGTAGAAAGCAACGACTATATACAGCAATGTTCGGTAAATATTCAACCGAAAAATATTCTTCATAAAATTAAACCGGAGAGATAGTTAATGAGTGAATTAACTATGTTCCTAAATACATATAAGCACATGCATAGCCCTAACCCATTTAAATATATGAATTGTGTGTGTGTGTGTATGTATATAATATTATATATAGGCTATATATATATATATATATATATATATATATACATATAAAATATTATTAAAAATATTATATATTATATACATCAGGTTACCAGTTAGCTAACGTTAGTGAAGTGTTGGTCACGTAAGCTATCGCTGCAATTAACCTATTATCTTCCAATAAACATTTAAACTGGCTACATAAAATATAACTACAGACTAGATCCACGAGAGGTCGGCTAATGTGTGTAAAAGTAAAAAAAAAATACAGTAATTTCATTAATTTACCAGCGAACGTACTTCTGAAGCACTGAAAATGAATGGGGTTCAATGGAGAAACTATCAGTGTTTGGAACTATTGGCTGCTCCACGACACGCGTTACTTCCGCATTCCAAAGTTCCTATGGAGGTCTATGGGAGTGTCGCAACTCTTTCTCTCTATGGCTCTGGCTATTGCATAGGAAAAAGTATCAACGTCCCCCTCGAAATCCCAGGCGAGAAAGTGCTTTGAAAACATTAAGCAATAGCTTCATTTTTTGTTAGCAAAAAAAGTGAATAGCTTTGAAAACTTCCAAAGTTGAAAAATGACAACCAGTGAAATTCAGCCATACATGTTTGAGCCAGAGTCTGATCCCGAATCACAAGACAACGAACCTACATCTCAAAAACTCCAGCCTGCAACAGTGTGCCAGTGAATCAGATCCAAAAATATCCAAAATGAACCATTTTTGGAGCTTGGTAAAAAAAAAAAGCTTTGTAATGAGGAACATTCAACAATATTAATGATTTGACTGCACTGACACTATTGGATAAGAACTGAACTGGACGATGACATCACTGTTTTCTGCAGAACTGCCTTATAGATGAAATAAACTTATTTAATAATTGATGATCTTCACAACAGAACTGAATCAACACTGAACTGACTTCAGCTGAACAATGACACTTTTCTTCTGCTGTTCCTTTGTTTGCATCATTGAATAATTTTCCTGTTATCACTTTAAAGCTACTTTTAAACAATCTGTATCATAAAGCGCTATATATATATATATATATATATATATATATATATATTTCTCAATAAGTATAAATTATGATATTTTGTAAAGAGAAAACAGTAGCCGTTTCAAAGCTGGATGTGTAAAAGGGGAAGGCAAATATAAGTTAGCTTCTTCTTTCTCCTTTTTTTTCTATATTTTTTCTTTTCTTTTGAACATGCTGAGATTTTGTTCTTATTATCTTCTTGTTAAAATATGTTCTGTTACTAATGATCATGTTCTGAAGAGGAAAAAGAAAGAAAATAAATAAATTATTCATTCATTCATTCATATAAATAAAGGTGGCCTGAAGATGTTTATTTTTAACATTATTTTGTTTTATTATTTAGCTATTTAACTCACAGGATGTTTTTATAGTACAAAGACCTCTTGTATGTCAAATGATTTCTCATGTCATAACCTCTATAAACTGCTTCACACTACATCAGTTCTACATAATGATTTAATGAAAATTTAAAACGTAAATGTTTTTTTTTTAAAGCCAAAGTAGATCAATAACTTCAGAATGATAAAAATAGAGCAAAGAGAAATAGGAGAAAATATAGAATAGAATTTAATTACAAAAAAGCCCAAAAACACATCCAATCAAATGCACTTACAAAAAGGCGATGAATGCAAGGCACACTTCAGGAATCATTAGAATTATGTACATTAAATATTGATAGAGCAATATATCATGCATTTAAATTTGACAGTATTGGTCAGAATTGACAAGTCAGTACATTTATAACCATGTCATTAATGCCATCATTTACACCTCTGTGGTATGATCCATATACCTCAAGATGGCTTGCTGTTTTGACAGCACAATCATTTGTCATTGGGCGATTTAATTAAGGTTGACTTGTGAAAGTTACATGCTTTTTTTCAATGGGTGTGGTTTTGCAATTAAGTAAATATGCTTAATTGCAAAACCACATCCATTGAAAAAAAGCATGTGACTTTCACAAGTCAACCTTAAGTAACACGCCTAATGACTTTGAATGCAGAACTGAGCACGAAGCACATCTACGTTTGGACCCAAAATGTTTCATCTTTAAAAATACAACTCATTTTATTTATCAAACCAACCTTGTAATGGTACAAAGACGGTCAGGGTGCTCTCATGGCATAAAATATAATGACTGGCTGTTTTAGTTTCTAAACCCTAAAAATTAAAGTGCATCTCTTACATATGCTGGTATTTGGCATATTCATACACATGAAACCCATGAATTTATGACATTTCAGAATTCACATCTGAAATTAATAGTCAGTATAGTCCCAGTATAGAGAAAGAGAGAGCGAAAGAAAGAAAGAAAGAAAGAAAGAAAGAAAGAAAGAAAGAAAGAAAGAAAGAAAGAAAGAAAGAAAGAAAGAAAGAAAGAAAGAAAGAAAGAAAGAAAGAAAGAAAGAATTTAAAAAAGCAAAATATCTTTCATAATATGATGGTACATCTAAAACGAAAAATTCACATAGTCCAAACAATGTAATGGTCTCATAAATTAGCAAACAACTTTCAGGACTGTTAGTGTGTGTTTTATATTAATTAACACACATTGACTCAAGAGATTCATACTCCAAAATAAAATGATGCATAAGTAACTTTGGCACAAAACAGTTTTGTAGCAGAAAGAAAGAAAAGAAGATCATCTGCTAACTTTCTTTCCACACAAAAAAGAAAAGAAAAAAAGTACGACCTTCCAAGAAATTTCCAAAAAGATCAATTTGGTCATATCAGTCCAAAATGTAGCGATCTAGTTTAAAGCCACACTTTAATATCCACTTAATTCTTGGAACAAAAGCATCCAAGCGTCGTGACCAGGTCCTCTCATGGTTGTTGAAAACGACGACAAAATCATTCAACAACCATTTTGGCGGAGAGAATGGGATTGTCTTCATTACATTCTTTTTCTGGCAGTGTTCACACATCCCCAGAGATTCATCTGTTAAAAGAAGCAGGGCAGAAAAGCTGTTAAAAAGCAGGTCAAACAAGATCATATCTGAGGTATAGATTTCCGACATCACAGTCCAAAGTCTAAAGTTGAGCAGAGACTGAGTGATACTTGTGTCAATATTTGAGGGATCTGGCAGAATAATCTAGTGTTTGACTACCTTCTCAAAGATTTGGCTTCATAAACAGTGTTATCGTCCTCATCGCTTTCCAGGTGGGCCATCTCCATTGTGTCGTCGTGGTTTGAAAGGAGCCCGTATTTCTTCCTCTGAACACCTTTTTTTTTCAGACTTGAACGAGAGCACAAAGAAGAATCATTAAACACTTGAAGGAACAGTTCAAACAAACATATACACACACATACATACATATATATTAGGGCTGGGAAAAAATTAATCGTGATTAATCGCATCCAAAATAAAAGTTTTGTTTACATAAAATATGTGTGTGTAGTGTGTATAATTATTTTGTATATATACATACACACACATGCATGTATATATTTAAGAAAAATGTGTTATTAATATAAAAAATATGTATATTTATATATAATATAAATGATGTATAAATATATATACAGTATATACATGCAAATATTTCTTAAATATAGACATGCATATGTGTGTATTTATATATACAAAATAATTATTCACACTACACACACATATATTATGTAAACAAAACTTTTATTTTGGATGCGATTAATCACGATTAATTTTTTCCCAGCCCTAATATATATATATTAAAGGTAGGTACATAATGCAACTTTTTGGTTTAAAATTTGATTTTTTTTTTGTCAATTGCTAAGTATTGTTCAATACTGAAGCCACATTTTCAAAACTCTTCACACAGTCTGCATTACCAAACAGTTAATCTCACCTTCCAAACTCACTCAGACCAACAAAACACTGCATATATGTCTCAAGATAAGCTCGTTCCTGGCAACAATTCTCATTCAGAAAACATGCATTTCATTCATAACACACCGACCTGAAAAAAACACTAATCTTTAAAGTTTGAATGATTATTTTTTCACATAAATATTAATTATTTGATAAAAATAGGATCTTTTCAGTTTACTGACTGCATTACAGCATAAAGAATGAATGAGAAATGCAGCAATATCTTTTTCTAAAGTTTTACATAGAGTAATTTACATGCAAAAAAATGAAAAGTTGAAACAAAACCACCAACAACGCGTCTAGTATAATGTATGTGCAGCATTGGAGACACAGCGATGTCAGGAGGCCTTTCTGTGTGTTGACATTGGTTTCCTCTGGGTTTACCACACAATCCAAAGACATACAGGACAGGTGAATTGGAGACTGTAAGTTTGCCTATAGGTGTGAGTGTGAATATGAATGTGTGCGAGTGCCTGTGATGGACCAGGGTGTTTTCCTGCCTACGACCCGAGACGCTGGGAAGACTCCACGACACAGCCCTACAGGACAAGCGCTTTGGAAACTTGTATGGAATACATGGGTGGATGGATGGATGGATTTACAGTACTGTGAGGATTCTAGTCCTCCTCCTCTCTGCCAATCTTCCTCCCTCACTCTACCAATCTTCTTTCCTCACCTATGTGTCTTCCTTGATCCATGTTTCCATACAAAATCCCTCTGAAGCCATCCCAATTTACTAAAAGATAACCGTAAAAAAAATATTACTGTAATAGAGACTAAAATATGACACCTGGGTCGGCTTTCATCTGAAATTGCAATTAGCTGTGTTTGTAATAATTACTATTTAATTTCATTGTAAATATTCTGCTAAGATTTTAGATTTAAATATAATTCCTGCAAAAATGCACAGAGTTTGTCATCATTCTGATTTGAATGTGCTTTTGTCAGTTTTGAAAGCAGTGTGTTAGCATTCGAAAAATGTGCTGCAAATAGTGTTTTGCAGATGGTGAAGTATGAATGACAAAAGTGTTTATGGATTTTGGAAAATGTGGTCATTGAATGCATTTTCCGTAAAAGCAATGAAAAATGATTCACAGTTTGGTCCGCATATACTTCAAATGTGTGAAGACGCTGTGTGAAGACAATGTATACACTGACTGGTCCTCATTTATCATTCTTGCGTAGAAACGGGCGTATATGTTGGCGTAAGATTATGCTTACACTCCTCTCATCGCCTGATTTATGAAGCTGTGCATACCTTTGAAATCCAGGTGTACGCAATACCTGCCCTTGATAAATCCCGCGGCTGAAAACGATCGTCATTAGAATAACACGCCCCTATATATTCAAGTCTCCGCTCCCCCCACGCCCTCATTTTACGCCATGGACACACGGAAGACGGCAAAGAAGAGAAACTTCTCTGACGTGGAGCCGAAATGACCTATCACAATGCATTATTTTACAGCACGTCTTGAAACAATTAGCATTCAATTTCGAATCACGTCACATGTATTGGGGTGTACAATAGTGATGATGTGATGTGGAGTACCATTCATTCACATTAATAATTGCATGACAATTTGTAATATTCTTATTATTATGATTTGTATTATTAATGACGCTTATTGTTATTTAGAAGAAGAACGTCGTTTTTATTATTTGTATTATTATTTAAAAGAAGAATGTATTTTTTATTATTTTGTCAGTCTGAATTATTTTTTGGTCATTGAAAGCCTTTCATTACCGAACCCAGTCCGTGCGCACCTGCCGGGCCTAACCATGAAACGTCAGGGTAAAGCGCACAGGCTCGCAACTGAAGTAATACATATGGCTACAAATCAAATGCTTTGGTAAAGTCACACAAATTAAACATTGAAGTCCATGTTGCACAAAAATAAACACTGAAGTTTATAATTACTATGTTGTTGTTGTTGGTCATAATATATCATATCTTTTAGTTTGTCAGTGCGTTTTGTGGTGTTAGGAATTGTTTTTCTGCGCATTTCCGCACTAACTCAAAACGTGCGTACACCACCTCCTGAGCTGGCGTAGGATTTGAGCGTGCCGTACGCCAACGTCCATATTGATAAATCTCAGACTGATCTCATGAAATGGCGTATGTATGACACGCCAATTCGTATTTCCATTTTTGGCGTGCTATCAACACGCATAATCGCTTTTCAGCGTGTTTATCAACGCCTTTGACTTAACGTTATATTACTGTATTATGTATATATAGATATATGACCTACCCCAACCCCGTCCCTAAACCTACCCGTCACTGGGGTTAATACCATTTATGAGTGTTCTCCTACCATCCTAGGAAAAGAAATATCGCTCCACAGATGTAGATATAGATTTTGCTTCGTTTCGCTCGGACATTTAACGGCGTACACATACACGCGGAATCACTCGGACGTTTAATGGCGTAGACATACACGCAAAAGATTTCGGCGTGGACATACACGCGGATAGCTCAAAATGCGTATAGATAACACGCCACTTGACTTGAAAGTGGCGTGTATGTTTACGCAAAGTCATGATGTCATGTTGTAAATCTCAAAGTCACCGTGGTTTTGGGTGTATGCCAGGTGTACGCTGGAAATTTGGTGTACGCACTTTTGATAAATGAGGGCCACTGTGTGAAGAGTTTTGAGAATGTGGCTTCAGTATTGATCAAAGCTTGTTAGCAATTAAAAAAAAAAAAAAAATACAAATAAAAATGGTAATGACTCAATAGATCATCAATGTAAAACCAGACCGTTCTCAGTTGTAACTGAGTTATGGTCTGGCAAAGCGTCATAGACAAATCATTTTCCAGAGGGGCGTCACCAACGGACGTCGCGGATAGACCTAAAACCAATCAGAGCGATGAAGGAGATGACGTATGCAGAGCGGCAGAAACATCTCCGAGTGTTGTTCTTTGCTCGGTTTTTAACAAAAGGGAAACGTTCAAATCGCTTAAAACAGACGCGATAGCTGATTCGAACGAGTGATGTTCGACGGCGGCATCCATCTTTGTAATGTAGGCTACAAAATCTGCTTCAAAATCCCAGCGCTATCGTCATCTTGTAAAGCCCGCCCCAACGTTTCTGATTGGTGCCGTGATTTCGACGGATTGGAAATGGGCTTGAATGCGCTCTTTGCCAGACTAACTTTCAGAGCAAATCTAAATTTGCTGGAAGTTGTCTGGGTTTTCCCAGGCTACATCAATCCTTCTTCCAAAGCGTGTTTTTGCCTTACCCTGATTCACTATTATAAGTGTTTATATTTTAGACCAGGTGGGATGGTTTTCACAGGAAATTGTGTACATACGTCACTTGCCCATCCATGCCTCCGTAAATAGAGAAAAGTTGCTCAGGCTACTTTTGATGCCTGTATGATATGGGAGTGCCATAGCTTAGATGTCAAAACGAGCGAGAAAGGTTGACATTTAGCAGCTAAATCTCGAACCTCTAATCACACGTTTAAAAAAAAAAAAAAATCTCAGAACAGAGGAGAGTCTGCTTGCAAAAAGAGAATGCGACCGATCTCGTAATGAAACAAGAATCAACATTAGCTTGGCTTTTCAGAGATGATGAAAACTGAGGGATTTGAAATGTTGTAAAAGAGATGCCGTTTTTATTACTCAACAGGCGAGTAATGTATTTTATTGAACAGATAAATTGCCATATGTAGCTCTATATAACAGGGTTCATCATTGTAAAGCATTATTTATTGTGAAGGGTCAATTCATTATGGGTTGTTGTAGCGCTGTACTGGATTTTTTTCAAGGAAGTACCACACCTATTAATGTGCAAAGCTGCAGTAACATCTTCAGCTAGTCAGCTTGAGATCCTTTCCATCTAAACTGCTATTTTTTCTTAAGCTTAGTAGTGAATGTTTTATGAGCAGTAGGATAATCTCTCTCTCTCTCTCTGTTGTGAGAAAGAACCATTTTTGGCAGAGCCAAAGCACAACCAAAATGTTCTTCTGCAAAATACATGCAGTTTTTTTTTTTTTTTACACAGTGTAAAAAAGCACAATAAAAGCAGCCCACATAACTGTTGTACTTCATTAGTGGACTTAGGGAATAATTATGACCAGGCCAGCTGACAGTCTTGCCTGGGCCCGGGACAAGATAATCTTAGATGGGGCCCCCCCCCCCACGATTTTTTTTATTTTTATAAAACACCATATACTTTTACCCAAAATGAATAATAAAAACACGTTTAAATGGGTACATTTTCTATAAATGTCTTCATTTTCTTTTCTGACATAGCCTACTGCAGTTCTTGTTAAAACACACTAGACATGCAAAATCTGTGCATTTTGGGCACTTTTTGTGTGAAATCATATTTATTTTTTGTCCATCAAAAGTGTGCTTTCACTTCTAAGCATGAGCAGCGCAGCAAAAATAGACTCGGATCTGACCCATTATCTGTTCACCGATGATGACAGTGATGCATTTCAGCCGGCTTTTTATTTCTCATCTCCATAAATATATCTAGTAGTAAAGCTAATCCAAGGGCTAGAAATCAATGAATTCTTTGCTAATACTTCCTCGTCATCATGGAGAGCGCAGTTCGCACCGCTTTCTCCTTTCCACAAGCGCTTAATTGCTCTCCCGTGGCGTCTGTCGTTGCTATGCAACAATGAACTTAGGCGCGCATGTAAAAACGAGCGCGCCGCGTCGCTATTATGCTAATATCCAAAATATTTCCATATGTGGCTCTTTCCTCCTTTCTTATCAACAAGTGGATTTACAGCCAGCACAGCAGCAGCACCGCCGTGTCGCCATGTCTCAGTGCTTTTATGAAGAGGACGCAACTGCACGCGCTTTGGGCATGCACGCGCATCCCGGGTTTGAGAAAACCTGGTACCGTGGCGTGACGTTTAAAAAGAAATTTGTACCGACTTGGTACCGAAGTGCCGGGTCTTTGACAACACTCATAAACGTTGGCTGCGCTGTTTCTTACCTTGCTCTACGTTGACTTTACTAACGTTACTTTCCAGCTTCACCGTCACCACCTTTTTAACAATATTTGTTTAGGACATCTCGAAGGCCTCTATTTTCTTCTTCTCTTTTCTTTTCTTTTCTTTTCTGAGCACCGGACTTGTGCTGACCGGACATTTTGAGCGTAACGTTAATGTGTAGAGGACTTCAAATCAAATGACAACATCACATTTCGATCAGTGGCCAAACCATTTTTGTTTTTTTTTTGGGGGGGGGGGTTCTTGACCACTATTTCTAGGACAATTAGGAAGAAAACGAATAAAAAGCTTTTATGTAACTCAAATATTAGACATTTTTTCAACAAATATGCCTATTTTATTTATTTTTTTAACAATTATTCCATAATTTAATGAGGGCCCAGTTCTGGGCCCCCCTCCCTACCCTGGGCCCGGGACAACAGACCCGTTTGTCCCCCCCTATCGGCGGGCCTGATTATGACACTTCGGTCTGTAAAGTAAAGCAGGGGCCATGAGGGGGCGACTCGCTCCATGTAACGTTATATTTCAACAGCCTTTTCAACAAGATGCGTTTGGGTGGAATCTTCTTGTAAGCATTCTATCCTTAATATTTCTCAAAAATGCTTTTTATTTGTGTAAAACTTTTTAGAATAGCAATATCATGTTAAAAAAAAATAAGTTAATATGTTTTTGAGCAGCTCTCCTGCTCAATAAAAGGCTATGAGTATGACACAACGCAAAGTTTCTTACCATAAAAGCACGTTTGCCATCGAATCTATAGTATTACAGTATGTAAACTTAACACTGTCTAGATGAGGGCATTTTAATACAAAACCTAATTTTCAAGATTTCACTTACCGGACCGCTCGGACTAAGAAATACAGAACTCCGATGGCCGTGATCCCGATAAGAACATACAGTGCCCGGTTAATCATCGCGCCGTCCAGATCGAAGCCCATTTTATTGACGCTGCTTGTGGTGTTTTTATCAGACCCATCGGTACTGATGCTGATGTTTGAAGTGTTCTTGAGTGCGGTTAATTGTTTAGTGGTAGTAGTGGGCTTCTGCCCATTGTTCGCGTCGTCGGCGTAAGACACAGCCCACACAAGCAGAGGCAGAAGTAATAAATGTTTCATAGTAATTGAGTTCGTGGTTTTTAAAGGCAAGAGAAGATCCACACACAAATATGAAGTTCGCTTTAACGACTGAGTCCAGTTCCTCTTCCTGATTTAAGACGTGACGACACAGCACACACGTAACGTTAGTGTTACGGTAAATTGTGTCCTGAGGGGAATCAACAAGGAGACCAGGTTCCTTTGTGAGACCATTAACACGTTCTATTCATAGACTATTCACCTTTTACAGAGGGTTCAAATAATTAATAATATAGTATTTTGATGGAGACTGTTGTTGTCTGAATCATACTCTACGCAAATACGTCGACCAAGTTGGTAGTTACTAGCAAGTCCGAATTTCTTAAGTCTGTGCATAACGCAACGGCATGCGTTTACGCAAGGGGTATTTCCCTCTTGCGTGATGTATGTTTAATGTGATCTTCTCTTAACCCTCTGGGGTCCTTCATTTCAGAGTCACACTCAGGACCTTCGGGTCCAAATGGGCCGGAAGGGTGGGATTAATATTTATAAAAAAAAAAATCATCATTTTTTTTTTTTTACTTGTTTTTTATAAAAAAAAATTATTTTCTTTTTTGGTGTTTTGAGATAATTTCAAAAATAAAAATGATTTATAATTAATATTAATGCAATAATTATGACCCATTTTTTCCCCATTGAATATAATAGAAATTTAAAAATTTTTTTATTTTTTTAAGCTGTATTTCATTTTAGAGTCAAGCCTAGGCCTCATGAAAGCAATTTTTGAAATGAGATGGATGCCATCTGGTGGACAAACTGAGCATTTTAAAAATTCAAAACCCATATGTAATCTGAATTTATTAGTGTGTATGTGTATAAAAGTGTGTTTGTGTGTGTGTGTGGATGTGTCTGTTTTGCACTCTTGATGTTTTATAGATTCACCCCTTCACTGTTGTGTGCTTTTTTTCTGGATCGTGGCTGATTTGTAGTTTGTACGCACAAAATAACTCTGTATTTTCACATTTTTGCCAATTTCCCATTCATTTCCTATGCGGGTCCATTTGGACCCGAAGGTCCTGAGTGTGACTATTTTTTTTACAACCACTTAGACTATTCAAATCCTGTCCCCAATTTTTTGGGGTGTTCATATGCCAAATACCAACAAAGTCACCAAATTTCGGACCATTCCGATAAAGCAATGATTTAAAAAATATATATTTAAATGCTTCGGGTCCATTTGGGCCGAAGGACCCCAGAGGGTTAAAAGACACAGTAGCTGTCCTTTATTTGTTGACACACGAATGAACGTGGCTACACAGACTGGAGTAAGAAATTTATTGAAGGCAAAAAGTACAACTAGGAATGCCATGAGGAACAAGATAAAGACTGAAAACAGTGTAATCCTGATTTTAACCATTTTATTTTGAACTATATTATTGCATGATGATGGTCCATAACTGTAATCAAAATATACATGTTTTCAGGTAATATAAAAACCCAAAACTTTTAACATTGTGATACAAAAATAGTATTTACACCTCATCTGTCCACTATAAGAAAAAGCACTTTATCTAAGGCAGATGTTGTAAAATGAGGGTTTTTAAAGTTGTGCAAGGATGCATAATCAGGTTTTATCCAGCCACTGAAAAATAAATGTTTTCAAAAATGCTAAAGCGATTCTTTTTTCTATATCCAAGGAGCATTTGCATTTTTTTAAAGCACCGCCTTATATTTTTTTAGATTGGTCCCACACAAATTGTATAACATACAACAAAGGAAAAAAAAACATAGACAGAACCTAATGCAAAAATTAAAAATAGTAAAGTAAAATAACTTGATCAATTATGAAACATTGCCAGGAACATAATATAAACAAACAAGATTCCATTTTCTTTACATTTTCTGGTCCGAGTGTCAAATTTAGGCCACCACCATAGAGCCTTTCGTTAAACATTTTTTGAAAGTTAATGCAGATGGATGTCCCCAGGATATACTGCTATGAGTCAACCAAGACATTTTAAAAAGGCACTTGTCATTTCAAAGACCCAAACTTTACAGGGGTCACGGAAGGCCATTGTGTCTGATCTGAGCATTATGTGATGTGCACCTGTCCCAGTTCACTTGAACTGTTTCCATCACTGATCACACTTCTTTACAAAGAAGGGAAAGCATTAAGCCCCTCAGAGAGGCCACGTGCCATTTATCGTGAGGCTAAAGGGTGTCAGGATGTCCCTTAGAAGGTACATGGAGGAAAGGCTTTGGTATCAAGCTGTAGTGTACACACAGGTACATGAATACATAAAATAAATGGGGCATTGAAGTAGAATATCATAAATAATCTACATCACACAATAACATGAAGTACACTGAACATCTACGCAAAATACAGGACAAACAGTAAACGAACAGCGGTTAATGATCCGCTGACCACAGCCAACATGCAATGGCCCACAGTATAAAAACAATACAAATCTTGACAACACTATAGGATTCAAACAAAAATGATTGCATTAACTTGAAGGGAAAAAAATGACTGTAAACATTCTATGTCTAAAATACAGTATAAATGCTGAAGCTAGAGGCTATGATGACTACAAACCTATTGGGAGATACATAACGCAGAGGCGCAGAGTTTAAGGCCTGTACCATCAGCCTGATGAAATTATCCATGTCTCATAGGAGCATCAATGCTTGGCCCCGAGGCCACGAAATGGACTCTTAACCACAGATTTGCAAACATTAGTTGCAGATGTTTGACTGAGGTTCTAGAGATCTGAAGGCACAAATGGAATCAAAGGCCTGAAGTGGTTTGTCTCTGCTTCTATATAAATCATTTTACAAGCCTTAACTAGACTGAAACTAATAGATGGAGTGATACATACAGTTAATGAACTTTTCAGGGGAAACTAATAATACATCTGTTCTAAAAATTTGACTAAAATAAAATAAAAAGAACATTTGTAAATATCCACTAAAATGCCTCTTAAATAAAATAATGGAATGATGGAAGTGAGCTTTGTGATTAAGACTCATTAAGGTTTACAACGACTGGCCACTCCCGCCCATTCTAGAGAATATTTCTCTCAAATGGTGGACTTGGAGAAGGAAACCCTAAGATGGTGGTTTTCTCCAAGATCATGGTTGTGGAACTGGATAAGGCACTCGATTGCTTCCTCCACTGAACCCATCTGAATCAGAGCCATCTTGCGATCCTTCCTGAAAGTTGATGAATTTGTAAGTATTTCTCATGGATAAACCAACATAGAATTTATGTGCTGAAGATAATAATTACAGATTGTTGCTGCCAAAAACTGCATTTTAACTCAAAATAACCAGGTAGCAAATTACTTAAAACCATTCACTATATACTTAAACTAATAATCCAAACTAAACTAACTAAATAATAATACATTTTATAGTGCATATAGGTGATCAGTGTGTTCATACCATTTTTTAACTTGCTGAAGTGTTCTATTTAAAAAAATAATAATCATAACCATGAAAAGGCAGAAATTATGAGAAATGACAATCCAATGTGTCTAGAAATTCTATTATTCAATATAGAAACACAATTTCAATATAGAATGTCTGCCTGATAATATATTTGTAAAAGTTATGGCTAATAACAAGCTTATATTTAATACAGAAGTAATAAAATAGTTTAATATTAAAGTAATATAACAAGTAATAAATAATAAAATCCTAAAAACGTTTAGAAGCGAATTGTGCACAAGTAAACATTCTGTAACACATTAAAGTTATCGGTTGTAATTCCATTAGCAGTATCAATCAATTTTAATTGATAGGCTACTGCATGTCACAGCTGCAAAGACTTACTGAAAGAACTTGAAGTTCTTGACGAGACCACCACTGCTACCAAAGAGCATCTTCAGGTCATCTTCAACAACGGCGGGTCTAAAACACAGAAACAAAGTTACAGATGAGATCTGGTTTTTAAATTCATATAAAAACAAGAAGCTGATAAACTCACGGGATGTTAGACAGGTGCAGGGTAGATGAGGGAGGGAAGATGTTGGAGTAGTTTTTGGAGCCTGGCTTCTTGAAGCGATGGAGAGGAGAGTTGCTGTAGTCTTTGGTGAGACCCTGGTCTTCATGTCCCTCCCGTGGCATCTGGACAGTCGTGTGTTTGGACAGTGTTATGCGCAGGGGCCTGCCGTATAACTTCTGCCCGCTTAGATGGCTCATTGCTGAAATATAAAAGTGTACATGAATGTATACACTAAAATTGAAAACTAACGAAATATACAGAGGGTGTATCATTCTGCCCCTAGTTAGCCATGACGTGAATCAGTATACTGCAAAAACCAATTTTAGCACTACCATAACATTTTTGGATTCTTGCCGAATGAGAATGGAGCTGCCGTTTCAGTATCACTTTCAATAAATTAATTTTTGGCTTGATGTTTGTATGTTAAAGAATGCCACTATAGCCTAATGTGTGTGTGTTTTTTTATAGTTTAATATATAATTTATAGCTACTTATTTTTCATTCTTCTTGTTCTGAATACCATTAAATTTAAAGGATTTTTTTGTGGAGTGAGGGGACAATAGCCTTGGCAATAGTGTTTATAATGTTTGTAAATGTTTTGTTTTATTTACAGAAATTTAATATCTAAATGAATTTAATTGTTTGCAATTATGAGGTTAACGGTGTTTTTGGAGTAAGATCAATTTCTCTTTCATACGATTACTTGCTCTTCTTGGCCGGGTTGTGTTTCTCCATGGGGCAAGGCTCCTTAACCGTATTTAGGGGGCGTGATATTTAGACAGCCAAAGTTGTAGCTGGGCACTGTGGATAGACGGCGTTTATACGGTCATAGAAAACAATGTGTTTGAATTTTAAAGATGTGGCACTGCGCAGCTCCTTTTAGGGGAAGGGCTCTGATAGCAATGCCATGCAAAGTGATAGAACATTTATATATAACGCGCCAAATTGGCTCGTGTGTTATGCGTTACTCGTTACCTGCATTTGGTGGGCATTAATTTTAAACCATGTGAATATTATATATATATATATAGATTATAAAAATAGTCTGCTCCTTCCCTAAGCAAATACCCATAATATTAAGAGAGTTTACCGAGTTGAGCCTGTGTCCCATCAGACATCTGTATTAGAGCGTTCTCCTTTTTGTTGAACATGATTTTTACTCTCATTACATCCCCATATACACCTACAAAAAGACAGGATCATGTCAGATACAAATATGCAATTAGTTATGATCAGACACACCTCATCAAAACCAGTCTGAGCTATAAAACAACTTCAGTTCACAATCAAGATACTCCAATCTATCACACCATCACATGCTTTTCAGGGTACAAAAAAAATATAAAATGACTAGCGTGTAATAGCAATTTTATCAGGGCTTTAAGTGAAAAAGGACAAAGTAACTTGTTTTAAGAGGAAATTCTTAGTTAAGAAAAAAAATATTTAAGAGTAGAGTAGTGGATCTGCAAATCTTAGGAAGACTGCAACAAGCGTTTGCGTTTTTTTACGATCTCATGAGGAACAGATTTAAACTGATCGATTGAGATAAGAATCGTTCAAGACTTGAAAGATAAAAAGTTTTGAGGGGGATGAAAATGCTATCTAACCCAAAAAAAGAATAAACATAAAACAGCAGGAGTCTTGACTATTAAACCAAGTATTTTAAACAGCTTTTCTCCAAAGACATGCAATAAAAAAGGTGGAACGAACAGTTTTCAAAAGCATGCAACATTTTTACAAGAAGCCAATTTGCTTTGTTCCGTCATAAAAAGCGGCAGCCTCCCGTCTGCATTCAAAGGAAGTGCTGTCGTTTCGGGAAAGCTGCAGCTTTTCATGACGCGTCTCATCTCACCACACCAAATACTGCAGAAAACAAGCGAGGCACTCAAAGAATTGGGCCTCACAGATGCCTTGTGAGGAAATAAAACCAAATTAAAAGAACAGAATAAATGAGTGACAAAAAAAGATGCTAAAGGATGACATACCGAAGAGAATAAAGAGGCAGTGGGGCGTAACTCTCTTTAAAGGACAGCAGAGGGGGGCAGCGGAGGAGGAAGAGACAGGTAAAGATCGGAGGCAGAGTGGAGGTTCAACATATCCGAGGCAGCGAGGCAGTTCCACGGGAAATGGCGAAAAACGATGGTTGGATCATGAAGATGGTTAATGGTTTGGGAGCAGAGAGAGGGGTGGGAGTGGGGGGGGGGGGGATAGAAGAGAGAGAAATGTTTGTGTGTTTGAAGTCATGTTGTGGTGTGTGATTGTGGGATGATGTGGAATTGTTCGTACAGATCAGATGAGTAGAGACATAATGGTGCGTGCAGCCAGATGGCAAAGGAGAACGAGGTTTCAAAAACAAAAAAAGAGCAATGGGATGAGGGGAACGGGGAGGGAGAGAAATAGGAGAAAAAAAAGGAGGTAAAAAAACAAGGTCAGTATACATAAAGAAATACAAAATATAGTGCTAAATTTAACAAAGAAACTTTACCAGCAAAACAAGCTAATCTTTAGCAATAAGTTACTGTAGTAAACAATGTGCTTCTTTTTTTAAATATGATAGATACATGTGTAAATGCACTTTCCAATGGTCTGTTTTACAAAACAGTACAAATGAATGAATAAATAAAACCAACTTCTTAACAGACCAACAGAAAATACAATTTCACAATTTTACTGTTGTATAATATTTGGAGGAGATGAGTGGAATATGAAATAAAGCAGCAACATATTCAAATGGAAGCAACAAGAAGAATGAAGCTCAACTGAATGGAATTTTTTAACACAAAACCTGAGGATGTTAGAGGAAGAAATGACAACGCATTATAGAAGGGGTGAGGACACTTGAGCGAATAAAGAGCCGGAGCTTCGGTTAATGGAAACACTAAACAACAGGCTTTGTGCCCTGTACACTGCAATGACTGAGCGAGCCGGCGACAATAGATCATAAACGCACTAAAATTAAAGAAACATTCAGCAGTTTAGCAGTAGTAACAACACCAGTTTACAATATCCACTGTACCGTTAATTTAATTCAGTTAATACAGTTAAAAGGTTACATGCCATTGTTTTAATTGAAATTATCGATATTTATACCAATGTTTGTATTAGAAAATATTTGGGGTGTGACCATTCACTTAGCTCACGTGATGAGACGATACATGATATTGCGTTCACGAGAACGAGACAAGAGTATATTATCACGCTGTTTTTAAGAAATCTTCAATGATGAAATAATGACTGAAAAAAAAAAAATTTCATTCACCAAAATACAAATACTAGGTGCATTTTGAAAAGTCTTTACTTATCTTGTAATGAATGTCATATCAGTTCTACTTTCCGAGTATTAATCATCATATGCTGAACAATATGACAAACTCAACTCCGTCATGCTGATTTCGCGAGACAGCTTTTCACATCAACGAGAAATAGTGTCTCGGTGTAATACTGCGAGATCTCGTCACACCCTTAGAAAATATAAAAAAATTTTTTTAAAAGGTGGCCATGTAGTTCAACTATGTGGCCATTGTTTTATTTATACCAATATTTTCACATTATAACATAAAAATTCACATTTTGTTTTAAAAGAAAAGTGTACCACTCACTGAACTATACGAATGACAGGATTGCTCATGACATCATAAAATGTGAAGCCACCACAAATCATCTGCTTTTAATGAAAAACATTACCTAACAAGTCAGTTTTTATATCTGAAGTCTCCCTGTACATTCTTACAATGCAAACATCCTAAACATTTAAATGGTTATTTAATTTCTACTGCTTATTAAAAGTTATGTTTATCTTCATTTCAGTAGTGAATATCAGATCAGCTGACGGACAAGACACCTATTACAAATGTCAAAATTGTATTACAAACGTCAAAATAATTCTTCTGAAATCTGAATAAGAGCTGCACGATTCTGACAAAATTTGAAATGCTGCAGTCTATTTAAAATGTTAAATTAATCTGAATGGATTATTTTAAAAAAAGGTTTGATTGAATGATTAAATAACTTACTCATAAATACTTCACTTATTTCATTACTGGATGAACCAGCATTTTGAACGAATCTCTTGAATGAATGATTCAATGACAAACACATTTTTAACAGTCACTTTTCGCCTCCTGGTGGCATAATGCAATCGATGCAATCATTATTTAAAAGCGTCAAAAAGTGATTTGCTCTATTTCGATCGCTTCTGTAGACAGTGCTATATCCGAACTTTCCACAATCTTTTAACGATTAATCGTGCAACTCTAATCTGAATACAGATTTATGCTTGGCATGCACATACAACTTAATTTGCCATGTACACAGACAACTTATTTACTGTGGTTATGTAATTAATTATATTGTGTTAGGCTATATAATATTGTTTTTATTCACACAACTACAAAATATTCAACAGTGTTTTCATTAACAAAATTTAAATTTAAACATTTGTTAAATTAATAATTAGCTCAACATTATATACAAATAACACTTGAAGCACACATGGTGAAGCTTGGATTTTAATACAATATACTATAGTGCAATCTTGTAATGGGGTCATGTATGTATTGTAATATTTATTGTATATTCCAAATCAATTTCTGCAAATATTCCCAGATAAGTGTTCATGCTTAATATTTCCTGCATAATTACGTACATAAAGAAATCTATTTTGTGTTAGGTAAAGTCAGTTGCCTGTGTTGGCAGTGTGCAGTACACCCATCTTGGATTTCTATATATCGCTTATCCTAAAGTAACAATTAATTTACATACATATATCCTAAAAACTAATCCTTCACCGCCTGATGGCAGTTTAGAACAAAATGAGCAATCCAGTCAATTATACAGACCAGTGATGTTATACAGGACCAGGTTTTTGCTGTAGTACCATTACCATTGTTTTGATTTAAATTATGATTATTTATTCTATTATATATTACATTAAATTATTCATTACATTTCGTTTAAAATGAATGTTCCACTAAGCTTTTGCTGTGGTGCCATTGTGATCGTTTTAATTTAAGTGATTAATATTTATGCATTACAATATTTGAAATATACACTTAAATGTAAAAAAAAAAAAAAATGAAAGTGTTCCGCTGTTTTTGGAGTGAAATTTTAGCATTGTGACAGCTTTACAAATAATGCATTTCTCATTCATTATACAACTTAATATGAGAGAAAATCTAATTTAAGGATCATTAGGAACAGTAGGCTATGGCACAATAAAAAAAGTCCCTGAGCTTGCTCAAAGACCTAACGTTTAAATAGACATATTGAGCACGTCCCGGTCCATGAGAGACTACGAACTACTAACCTCTGGGTTCAGGTTGCTGACCAGCATAACGCAGTGGGTTCCGGGGAGGGAGGGGAAGCCCATTCTGCTTGCAGCCGCAGCGGCCGCTGCTGCCCCAGGCATGGCCAGTGAGGCCAGGGCTCCATGAACCCCAGGTATTGTCAACCCTGATCAAGACAGTCTCAATTTACGTGACAAATCACAAGACATAATAATTCGGAAAATATAAAATGGAGAAGGCGTTAGAATCAAGCTGTGTGCTGTCGTACCTGCAGCCTGCTGGATAGCAAAATGCGGAGGGAAGGCGTGTGCTCCCGCATATGGTGAGGCAGAGATGATCCCGGGAGTAGCTGCAAAATACGAGAACTTTTAGAAATTTCGAAAAGAGGCAGAATGGGACTGTTACTGTGGTTAAGAAAAGTGTGTGCTGGGCATTTGTACCGAAAGCAGCCATATGGTGATGTTCAAGAGTAGGCTGGCTGTCCCCTGTGGGCAGGTCTGGACGAGTGTAGTCACGGCTCTTGTCGTTATTGTATTTGACATTTAAGCTGGTAAGTTTGGAAAAGCTAATGCGCAGGGTACAGCAGCCATTGTAGATGTTCTGGCCATCTAGAGCCTGAGGAAAGAGAGATTTTAGGCTAAATCTAGACTTTCAAATTCTTTCATAGTATGTGAGCTGGCATAAAACCAAGTTTTAATATTTGTCATTACATAAGATGGCTGATAGATGGCACCACTCACCAGCTTGGCATGTTGTGCTGTCAGGCCATCGGCAAACTGGAGTAGAGCTTGAAACTGATTGTTTTTGGTGAATGTGATCACTTTCAGCACTGTGCCAAACTTGGAGAAGATCTGTTTAGGAACCGAAGATATTTTAGTATCTATCAAACAATCATAACTGCCAACAGCTAATTCAGAAAGGATTAAGTCAGAAAGTCAATTTCAGAGTACTAGACTACAGGAAGTGTATACCTGGTGCAGGACATCTAAGGTCACGGTGTAGAATAGACTAGAGGAAGTGTATACCTGGTGCAGGACATCTAAGGTCACAGGGTAGAATAGGTTTTCAACGATGACTCTCAGGACAGGGCTGGGGCCAGTCATACCGGATGGGTCAACAGCACCTAGAGTCATGCTACCTGTCTGGACAGCATTTACTGCCTGCAGTGCTGCCTGTGCCCTCTGTAGACACCAAACAATGGCAAAGATTAAATTCGATTTCAATTAGGTTTAAAAGAAAAGAAAAACGCTGTTTATCCATGTGCACGCATGAGTGAATTTGTAGATGGCTTATTCTGAACAAAATCGAGTATGGAGTAAACACTGTTAGTTGGTCAAACAGAAAAAGCTAAACAAATTAAGCTATCCTCCAAATGAGCGCTGATGGGCTGCAGCTGTGGAATTCCCTGCTAAAGCCTTTAGCGGCATATAAACTGTGTTTAGAAAAGGGAAACGGGCAGTGTGGAAAATGCAGGGAAAAAAACAAGATGCGTAGAAGACAGCAAACCAGGCCCTCTGCTTGTATCAATCATCATGCACACAGCAGCTGGAAATAAATCTCAATTATAAATGTATACATTTTCAAATGATCAACTATGTAGAAAAGTGGAATGAAGCCTCCCAAAGGCCGCGAACGTTACGGGATGGACGGACGCCAAAAGAGATTTTGAAGCACATACCACTTGGTTTGGTGAGTTGTCTGTTTTCAGCTCTTTGTGGTTGGAGTATTGCATGAAGATGGGATGATTTCTGATGACGGGTGTTACGGAGGAGTAGTAAGTAACCATTGTCTGTGCTGCTTCTTCAGTATTCATTTCCAAGAAAGCCTGCACAAAAATGCAGATCATGCATTTTCCTTTAAGTCTGAAAAATGCTCTATGCAAGCACATGAACGCAAAAACTTCTAGCTAAACAAGCTAAATTTCACATACACTACTTTTCAAAAGTTTGAGGGCGGCAAGGTTCTTTTGATTAAAAATATACTAAAACAGTAATATTGTGAAATATTATATTCAATATTTTTTTAGAAACTAAGATACTTTTTTTTTCAGGATTCTTTGATAAATATAAAGTTCCCAAGAACAACAATTACTTAAAAAATAAATCTTTGGTAATATTATATATGCCTTTGTCACTTTTTTCCTTGCTGAATTATATTATATTGAATTAATTTCTTTCAAGATTCTCAACAATACACTCACAAACAATTTCTAGCCAAAGAAATAATTAAGTCTGATGTTAACGTTGCTAATGCTTAATATGCGATACAAAAACAAATCTAGAACACACTAGTATTGGTGACGGCACTAATACTAGTCTAAAGTCAAAGTTAAGTCAACCTTTTCTCATACTCTGAGCTAATGCTAAGAATGTCATAACAGGAGAGGCAATGGTACCTGGTTCTTTCCCTTTAGCATGAGCAGATTGGTGACTTTGCCAAACGGAAGGCCGAGGGAGATGACCTCTGCTTCGTTGATGTCATTGGGCAGCTTCCGGACATGTATAACTCTGGACGGGGCGGCAGGACTTCTGATTTCACCTTTGAACTTCTTGCTGTCGTTGCCGTTGGCTACATTGAGAGCAGATGATCAGGATGGAATGCTGGGACAACACATCTGAGAAAGAAAGAAATAAGTATAGAGCATAAAAATACTACCTGCTGAGCTCATGATATAAGGCCCACTGGAAACACAGGAGAACAGCTCGTCAGATCCTCTCTGAAAGAAAAGAAAAGCTCTAGATCAAACCTCGTAATTTTTATGAGGTTTAGACAGTTTAGGTCAGTTCTGAGGTTTACAAACTTATAAACAGGACACTTGAAGGAAAGAGGAAGAACATAATGATAGATGAACCCAACCTTAGCCTGAATGGTAACAAGTAGTAAAGGAAACAATGATAGTGGGATGTCCAAAAGAGGACAAGTTTACATCAGAAACTCTGAACGCAGGAAATGGGCAATGCTACATTCAGCCTTCCCGTGCAAACAGCAGAGCCTTAAGGGCGGGCGGGGTCAGAGATCAACCACAAGACATCCCCCACATCCCCAAACCTATGAAGGAAGATCTCTGTAGACTATGGGGAGAGGGGTGGTTTTACATTTCCGGGTCGTCGACCAAGAGGAACGTGTGTCCAGTCCAGACTGAATTTTGCATTTGCTCTATCACACTTTTCTTTGTTAAAGAAGGACGGAACATGTCTAAAACCTCTTATCCTCTGCGCTTGGTATCAAACAGCCCATTTCCAACACATCTTAAGCCAAGATTACACATGACTTAAGACATGTGATTAACATTAGCAATAAATCACAGTTCTGCAAATAACTGTCTTTGTCCCGTTTAATTCAGACAATTGAAAGCAAATGTTTGTTCTGGTTGTCCATTATCCGAGTGCAGACATTTGAGACAAAGAAAGTAACAGTAGTTGGATGAATTAAACTATAGTCTGATTGTCCAATCACAGCGTATGACTAAAGAAAGAGTGATATAAGTGTATTCAGCAGAAACTACTAAGCCCATGCAACCGCACAGGCCTGCCCACCACATATTAAAATTCCACAGTCAAACGACTCAATGAGAACCACATGTAACCCAGAGGGGGGTGGCTACACAAAATACATCTGCTATGACACACTAAGCTAAAAAAAACAAAGGGTTAAATGGTTACTGAAAAACACGCTAATCTTTACACTTTTACAGAAACCTTCTTTATAGCTCTACTCAGTTGCTTGTTACCCTGTGCCGTTTTCTAGCAAAACGAACAATGAACTGACAACATGCTTGCTTGACAACTGTTAAAGTGCTGACAACTGTTAAAGTGCTTGCGTTAATTATTTCTGAAAAGGATTATTAAATTGTCCTTTTATAAGTAGAACTACTATTCTATTCAAATTCACTTCAAGTTTTGGGTTAAGGACAGTGTTTTATGGAGTTTGCTTTGCTCCACGTAGCCGGTACATTGTGAATGTCTAATATTAAATGTGTATTATATTTAGCTTACCTTTGTTGTCATCCAACACTTACTTAAAATTGATCTTAAAAACAGTAGTAACACAGTTAACCGTAATCTTTAAAAAAAACTCTAAACAAATATCCTTGTCATACTGTACATTGTATGACAAAAAATATAAAATTGGATGTTCCCACAACTTCCCTCATTTTAGTTAAATCAAGTCCATATTGTACTAAAACGAACCACTTTCAGTGGTTTCTATTACATAGCTACACTGTTAACTTGAGCTGAACCCAGAACATTCCTTCAAAGCTTCTAGATGCTGTCAGACAGTACTATCTCTGTGCATTTAATGAAGTTAATTAAGCATGGCAAACATTCAATGTGTTAACTTTTTGTTGGGTGTGGCATGATGGGATACTTGCTTAAATAGATTAGGGGGTGTGAAGGACAGGGGGAGGGGCGAAGACAGCAACAATTCACAAGAACAAAAAACGGGGCCGTTACCACGGCTCCGATTGTAATGCGCTCACCATGGAAACCTAGTGCTGCAGGTAACTGAAACCCAACCCAGAACTGAATACACAAGACCCATTATCTCCATACGCCCAGGTGTGCCTTCTAACTTGAGCCATTTACTACACTAACCATACAGGTTATGAGCACAGTTCCAGACCTTTTTTACATTGGAAAGTGCTATAGTAGCAACGGCCGATCAGAAATTGTCCCTGTGGAGAGTCGATATACACGTGGCGGACCACTTTTTTGACAGATAAATACCTGGTTGTGCACCCTGACACCACAAAAACAACATCACGATTTTAGAGAGTTAAAACATGCTGAGAGTATTGTGGATTGCCAGCTCACTGTAATCAGCACCTGTGACCCACAAGCTTTCGACTTGCATTCTTTACGAGATAGCGAGAACAAGAAAGAGAGACTGATAGCATCAAGCGAACCCCCATGTGACCCATTAGCACCTCCCCCAGCCATCTTCCCTCTGATCAGCCCTGCTGAACAAACACAAGAGCTACATGTGTGTGCTGAGTGATGAGGCAAACATATTTGCATTTGATGAATAGACTGCATTCATCTCATCATATCAACAGCCAAAACCAATCTCCGAGGAATGTCTCTGAAATGGGTTCAATCATTAGGCTGAGGTAGAACCTCAATAAAATGCTTGCCACCTGTGTTCGCAAAGACAAATACAGTCATCTGAAAACCATCTAAACAACCAGAACATCCAACGACCAATTTAAAAACATTAAATTACAATTGATCGACATCTACTTCTCTTAATGAATGTCTTTGACCTTATTGTGCATGAATTTAATGCATTTTAAATAAAGAAAACATATTTTGTGCTGATAGAAAAGGTTTTGTTGGTATAGAAAAATAAAAACAAACAATAATATGGCCCAGTGTTCATGATAAACATCAAGTTTCTCCCTACATAATTTCCTACTGTATAATTGGTTTCACTCTGACATGCAGCACATTAATATCTTGCGACTGCAGTTTAATTTAGCCCAAAAGACAAGACCGAATAGCTTGCTCCCAGTTAATATGGACCCTTTTACAGCTTCTGTTCTTATTTTTTAGTGAATGATTGGTGTATGCTATTCCACCATTTTAATAGCTTAAAATGTAAATGTAACATGCTATTCCTCTAAAACGACTTTCCTTGTCTGATGACATCACCTAGACCACATTAATGCTAACCAATAGCCAAATAGCCATTTAGAATGTCTTGTTTCTAGCAAACTTGCATTCAACCTAGCTCAATTCTTGTTATCTAATTTTCAATCCAATTAGTTTACAATTAATAAAATCGAGCCCTATCCTACATTTCTTTCCGATATCCTGATTCACCCAGAAATGTCAGAACGGCTTCCGAATGAGGTTTCACATTGGATTTGAAGTCCCCCTGTGGGGAAAATCAAGTTTTTAAATGTTGTTTATATGTCTATGTGGTGTTTTTAATATGCTTTAAGACAAACCATGTGCAAATTCACAAGTCAACATCATTGATAGTATCTGCTGTGAACCAAAGACTCTCATAAGAGATTTTTTTTTTATTTTTTTTATTGACTACAGGGGGACTTTAACATTTAGGCTAATTGATCATGAGACATAATGCCCTTACAATTATTTTAACTCCAAAACTAGGAAACATCTCGTATAATTTCAGAACCAACTTTTCTAATTAGCAAAACACTCTTAAAACAGTGCCTGCCCCTTTACCATAGTAAATACAGTGCCGGTAGGTTTTATGCAACATAAGTTACTGCATGACCTGAAGCGTGTAAGTAACTAACCTAAATGAACCTCATGAATCAGCCTTTGTTCCACATCCTGTAGGTCCCTCCTCACTAGCCACATACCACAGGAAATAATCTTTAATGAGAGAATGAGCGGGAGTGTTCATGTTGTTGCCTCGTAAAGGCTGATCCAGGCAGCAAGTTTGGGATTTCTTAACTACGCATTTCACAATAATCAAATATTATGACATATGATCCAGCATTCATTTTTTAAAGTTAAATGATAACTCTGATTTCATAAAAAGTTGAGAAAGCACAACGTGGAATGGCACAATGCCACAGTGCTTGTTCTAACAAATCTTTTTTTTTTTGCTTCGAAACGATTCACCTTGTTGCCAGGAATGATGAATCATATCTAGACAGAGTGATAGCACAAGGTGTGGAAGTCACAAAGGCCATGTGAGAGTCATGGCACACAGACAGTTAAAGGATGATGAAGTGTAAAAATCTGCTCTTATTGAACCAATTCAAACTGTATAGCACGTGTCGTCTACCGTAGTGACCCCGAAGGACCAAATATAAAATTCTTACCTTTGTGCCAACTGCAATATCGTGAACAACGCTGTAAAAGAAAAGAGAAACGAAAGGAAAAAATTCAGAGCAGGAAAACAGAAGCAAAATACATGAAATTAGAAAAGAAGAACAGAGGAACCATTCTGACCACATGCATTTGTCTAAAGTCCCAATGAAACAAAAGGTAAAGAAAAAAAATTGTTTCATGCACAGGACAGTATGTCTAATGTGTAATTTTCAGAATCTATCCCATTTCTGCAAGCCAAAAGGCGAAATTAAAATCCTCAACCAAAATAAGAAGTGTGATTCATATTTAAGTGGGTCTAATGAGTTTAATATTTCATTTGGTTCATGTTGGTCAGATGTTTTTCCCATTAAAGGAATAAGCAGAATGTGAATAAACTGTGTAATCTAGTTCCTTCCCACAGATCTCCCTTAGAGCAAGAAATATGAGTGGTATTTTGGGTCAGTCTATGGTTGAAGATTAACCCCCACATCCTGTTTCACATGAACTCATAGTAAACGCAATACCAGAAATCTCCCCTTTGGATCAGGTCTTCAAAAAGTCCTCATATCTACAAAGCACAGCTTTAATGCTTTTATGTTTGAAACAATGAATTGAAAAAGAAACAGACTGTGCCAAACAGATACATCTTTCCCAAGAGGGAAAAACATGTATGCAAATGAGAGCTCAAAGAAGGGGGCCCTGAGGACTGGGGTCATTTTTTTCACAATACCTGGGGTGTGGTTTTAGTTTCTGTGTATCATCTTACATGGTGCATGTGCAGTGTGTCTGTCTGGTTCATCCAGGTCTATCAGACTCATTTGAGACCATTTACCATAGAAACCACAATTTCTGCCACATTACAGTAGTTACAACAGTAATTGTTACTGCTATGTGGTATTAACCACCACTAGGTTACTATTCAACAAACAGAGTTTCTTGTTCCACCAAAGAACAAGCCTCAAGAAGTTGAACTAAATTTGCTACACTATATTGTGGTTGCTTTTTAACCCCAAATTTGCTACATAACAGTCTAAATACAGTTTAAAACTCAAATTTTTGCACTATTCAAGCAATAAACAAAAATAAAAAATAAAATAAAAAGCAATAGTCATTGATAGTCACCTGCAGGAATTTAAAATGGCAAAGTGACTACTTTGTTTTGTGGAATCTATGGCAACTATGGAGCATTTTGTAAGAGAAACACTGGGGCACACTGATATCCCTCTAATAAAACTACTAAATAAAAATGCAATCTCTGGGAGGTACAAAAAAATAATTCTGAGCTATAATATTTCAGATAGACTTACTCTAATTCTGCGTAACTTGATCCCATAGGATACAATTGAGTCTCTAGGCGGCTGCACAGGGAAAAAGATGTCAATGCCATCACACAATCTAACTAATCAAGTTACTCTTACTCACGTTCCTAATCATTTTCTGGTTAGAAAGAAAAACACAACTTTGAATGCCTGCTTTCCCCATTAATGCGTTTTAAAGAATGTTATTGTTTACTTTTTAAACTTTTAAAACTGCATACGATGCAACAAGTCCTCTCGGTGGAAATATAATTGTTTTTGCAGAAATCAAACTCAATTAGGCTGCAAAACACGAACGATGATAGTTTATAAAAAATAAAACAGGCAAACCAGGGGGAAAAGCTAAATGTGCCAAACAAAACAGCGAGCATCATGCAGAAGCCTGACGCACGGAAACCTACGGGTTTGTTTCATCGTAACTGGTGATGATAAGAGCGCTCGCGCTGTCCAATCAAACAAAAAATATATAGACTACATTACAGTTGATAAACGTACGGCTTTACCAGTGCAATGTTTATAACCAGGCAAGTCCAACTTATTTTCCATTCATAACAACGTAGCATCACTCACCCGTCCATCGCATACAGAGGAACAGCAGCTCTGATCCGCAACTTTGATGCTTGGCTGAGTTTTCTTAAAGCGCTACAAAATGGCGGAGTGCGTTGAGTAAAGCCTCAGCGGTGAGCTTGGTGATTGGCCAACCCTAGAAAATAGTGGGCGTATAAGACACGAGGAGGATTGTGATTGGATAAGACGAATTGAAAGCAAAGGGCGGTTACAGTTGAGGAAGGAGAAATTGCGTGTCGTGCATCCTAGTATTGTTCTGCGTGTTTGAATAATGGAGTATTCACTAATGGAATAAGTTTTATTTTGTTCAATAAACGGATTAACCTGTTATTTTGCCAGTGTAATAGTAACTTTACTAGATAAAATAGATTATTTCTTTAGTGATACTAATTATTTTAACATAATAGAATACACGTGATCACTCTTGGCCACAGTTTTTAATAAGTCTAAACAGCCAAGGGTAGACTAGACACAACAACAGCAGACTGAAAGCTAATATAACCGGTTACATGAATATTTAAGTTTGCAAGGGTAGCAGAAATCCATTATGTCTGATTAGGGATTTGATTACTGTTTCCACAAAATACTATATATATATATATATTAAATCGATAAAGGTTCCAGCATCACAGATACTGGCCAAAGTAGGACTATGATGAAGGATCTAGTCTCTTTTAGATAAAATACTGTAACTGGCCTTTGATCAGTCACACAATCTTATGAACAGAATCTTATTTAGTTGGATTGCTGTCAGTTAGATTTAAGCGCCTCGGATATCAAAGGCTCCATGATCTCATTGATGTCTCTCAGAGCCTCTGCAGTGAATCTTTTGCGACCACCTGGCTGAGTCTTTACTGTCATTTACCTCTTTTCACAGACCAACATTAAAACAAGCAAATAAAAACATTTTTGGTTTGATGGAACCATCTTGTATTCAAGGAAATGTAAAAGCCCTACATTAAAGTTTAAAGAAATCTTGGTGATTTCACATGTCTGATCTAAAATAAGAGTTTAAATTTGAACCTGCAAAATGGTTTACACGCTTTAAATGTCTTGTCCAGAAGGACTATGGGACAAGGAGAGCTTTGGCATCAAGTATCATCATCAATAATTACCTGTTTGTCACACTCAGGAAATTACTTTTCCCCCTGTGCCGTAGGAGACGCACCTGCTTAAAGCTAAATAATAGATGGGGGTCCGCAACAGAAACTGAGACTCATTGTCTCCAAGGTAGCTAAATGAATCATCAGATGATCTGGACAGGTAAAAAATAGGCCAGAGCAGAGGCCTATCAATCGGTAAGGCTTTTACAGTACAGTGGTGTACAAGAGAAGCTTTATATTTATAGAAACATTTATTTATATTTATGTTTAATTTACATTAAAGTTATTTACATTTATATTGATGCAGTGTTTCTGTAAACATAAATAACTTTATAAAGCTTTTCCTGTAAACATGTACATATAAATAACTTTGATACCATGTTTCCGTACTTAATTTATTTATATTAACATGTTTCCATTTCAGTGGTGTAAAGGAAACACATTATAAAGGTATTTATAGGTTTTCAGAAACATTGCATAAAAGTTATATATGTTGCGTTTACATTTATGCAGTGTTTCTGTAAAAATTTCGATCCGGTTAAACAACTTTATACAGCTTTTCTGTACACCACTGTAAAAGTGTAATTAACTTTGACACTGTGTTTCTGTATTTACATTATTTTTACATGTTTACATTACAGTGATGTACAGGAAAGGCTTTACAAAGTTATTCATACGTTTACAGAAACACTGTAAATTCATTTATATTAACACGATTACATTATCATTTTTTTTGCTTGCCACTGTTAAGTTGTTTATGTTTACAGAAACATTATGAAAATTATTTATTTACATGCTTACAGAAACACTGTATCAGATTTATAAATATTAACATGTTTAAACTTTACATTTATCTACACAGTTACATTAATCCTTTGATCTAAACCCCAACACCAAGTTTTGTCTAGTCTTTAATCCTTTGCCCATCCTTGTAACAAAGGGCCATTCTGGTAGTTTGTAAGGAGGCAAGCAACAGTGTGTAGCTGGTTGATGGTCCCGATGTTGGAGAGAGGGATGACTGTATCAAACAGCTGGTGTTGCCTCACTCTGCAGATGAGAAGCTCAATGTGGGCCCTCAGCCGAGCAATGGAGTGAGTCTCCTTCACCTCATTAGCTGGAAACTCTTCCTGCTTGAACAGGCAAGCAGGTCTGTAAACTTTGCATGGTACACAGTCATCTACAAAAAAACCTTTGTCGACCATAATGGCCATTCCAGGTTTCAGGAGCGACACAATCCCAGACTGCTTCAGAAGTTCCTTGTCACTGACAGATCCTGCACACAAGGATGACACAAAAGTGACTGCACCATGCGGTGCTATGCCAATTAACCCCTTGAAGGAGCAATGGGACTCTTCACCTTGAAGCCGGAGAGAGGATGGTGTTCGGCAACGCAGCTCTGTGCAGTCAATCACTACTTGTGTGTCTGGGTAGTCTTTGAATTCCTTTGGCATTTGAGCCTTGACCGCCTCCTCAGGCATCCAGACGCGCACAGATCCAAGAATGGTGTACAGAAAATTGGCCCATTTTGTAATTATTTGACTCGCGGTGGACTGATGGATGTTGAATCTGTGGCCCAGATCCCTCTTTGTTAGCCCAATCGAGAGATGGACCATGAAGAGAAAAAACTCATCTATGGGCTGCAGGGACTGATACTGTTAAAAGAACAAAATTGGAGAAGTGTATGTTAATATAGAGAAAGTAACATTAGAAACATTCTAATTTCTTTCTATTTCAACTTTCTATTCTCACATGTATTTAATATATAGCATAATACATGATAGGTTATAAATTGCATTAAGTAATTATTTACAGATGCACTGTCTGATGCTCCATCTTCACTCTTTGTTGTTGCTCTGGTCAAACGAAGCATGTTGTGGGATGCAGGCTCTATCAGTCTCCAGAACGCCATCAAGTGGTTGTAAGTCGCAAACCTACACGAGATGTGGGACATGTTTGAGATAATATAGCCTACACCAACAAATGTAATGCACAACCTAGAGTTGTAGCTTATACTTTTTGTTAAGAGCAAAATATAAGGCTATATGAACTATAAATCCTTGTGAAAACGAAGTATTTGTTATAACAGAAATAATAGCCTATACTTTAAAGAATATACTTGCATACAAACTGATTGAATGTAATGTTTTCAGATAATTGACTGCGCATCATTTACAATTAAATGAAAATATATTTAATATAACCTGTGTGTCATATATTTAAATATATTTGAAATTGCACATTTGTAATGTTGCAATTTAGTACATTTAAAATATATATTAACTTTAAATGTAATATCAAATAACCACACTACAGTTAATTATAAATGTTTGAATTAATAGTGCTTTAAAAGTGCTTTAAATGTGCTCAACTATGTTTGTCAACACATCAAAATAAATGTACTTCTTTAAAGTAAAAAAAAAAACTAAACAAAGGTTGACATTACAAAGTGCACTTTTTTGTGTACGTAAAGCGTTTTCAGAAACATGTCATCAGTTTTGGGTAAATTACTCCAAAAAAGTAATTAATTTCAGCTACTATATCTTCAACAGTGTGATCGATACAGGGGTACAGTTGAAAAATACAGGAGTAGACATGCAACTGCTCTTTTAATGTTTTCAAATAAATAATATAAAATTGCAAATAAATTATTCTTGAACTGACCAAATTATTTAAAGGGAGAAGGTTACATTAAAAAAACATACATTTTAACATTAGGCTTTACATTTTGATGTTAAATCCACTATTGTTTTATATAGAAATATTCTAGTCTATACAGTATGCATCAAAACTGTCAATTACAGAAAGAATTATGGGAAATCCCTTACTTTACGTGTATTAAGGGATAAGTAAATAAATTACAGTGATTCATTGATGCACACTCAACACTGTATATCATGAAAGTGTACATGAATATTTTTGTATCATTAAGTAGTTTTTTTTTTTTTTTTTTTACTGTAAGTGCAAGTGCAAATTCAATACAATTAAGCGAACTTCTTTTATTATTAAAAGACCAGAAGAGTAGTTTTAGTTTCAGACGACCAATGTGTATGTTATACTGTTTATGTTTTAATGCTTACCTAGTGTAAAACCATATGTCATCATCAGATGCAGCAAATCGCCCCAAACAAAATCTCTGAAGGACAGTCAACTCTGCCACCTGTCTCATCAGGCTCTCCACCTGCTTTCGGAGATCTTCGGTCTGCTTCACAGCCAGATTAACCTGGACTGGAGATGAGCAATAATCATGATCCTGATGCGGGAAGTCCGTAGGCACGCGATCTTCTTTCAAATGAATGAAAACTTTTCTCTTCCTCCGTAACTCTGTGCGCTTTGGTGCTGGAGTGGAATCGTTCCTCGGGAACACCGTGGGCACAGCGCCCTTCTTCAGTAGCCGGCGTGCTGTAGGAGTCGATGGCTCAATCAAATCATCACTCGTGAAGTGACGACTGCAGACTCTTGTATTAGGGCTAACGTTCAAATCCTCACGCCCGACATTGAGAAGCCACTTTTTCCGTATTCCGTCGTCCAAAGGGAAACAATGGAAACTTATCACAGAATTAAACCTTGAGGACATTTTACAGAACGGGACACAACAATATCGAGACGATGCACCACCCTCACGCCGAAGGTATTTAAAGCTTTTTGAGCTCATTACTAAAACGATATATTTTAAATAATATATTAAAAGTGTATGTTAATAATGTATGTAATGATATATGCATTTGTTTGTGATCGATATAGTTAACTGAAATATGTCAGAAAGAGTTTACTACTATAGCCTATTAACACAGTTTGTTATCAGTACTATACCGGAAGCTCGAGTAGACACTGAAAGTTTAGCGGAAATACGTAGGCATATGGCAAGCCGTTTTAGCATTTAACCCATTTAATCCCACATTTCCCCAGAATTTGTATGGTATTTGTAAGGAAATTATACAATCAATGTAAATTATGTACAAATAGCCTAATAATAATTGAAAAGTCCAGAATTACTTTTCCGGTAAATACACAAATATGCTGTTCACACAAGCAATGGCATTCTGGCTTTTTACCGGTAAGACACCATTCATACTTTAGCACCAAAATACGGGTTAATTGTTTACAATTGTTTACATTTACAATAGGAAGTGACAGAAGCAATAGGAGCAGACAAGAAAATAACTATCAGAAAAGTATTAGGCCTAACTTTCTATTCTGTTTCAACAGATGACAATATCCTTGATTATGTGCACGGATAAATTATAATAAACACTGACAGCTATAAAAAAAATATATATATTTTTGATTTGAATCATCTCACATTAGGATTACAGAGATATCTCTAATTATCAGTCTGACTTAAAATTATAAATATTACTCATCAAAATACAATTGAAACTAAAATATATCCATGAATAAAATCAAACCAAAGTTTTCTTAACTAATTCTGCTTGCCACAGTAGGTCGTGCACAGACGATTTGTGACACCATGTGGCAGCTGTTGGACATTACAAATAAAACACACCTGAACCAAAACATAAATTGAATTTGGAGGAAAAACCTTTATTAGTGAACTGCAGAACCCCATACTCATGCTGTTACAATATAGCCAACTTGGGAACAGCATGCTGAGCAGCCAACCAACGAGCATCAAGCTCTTTAAATGAGGTTTATTGAGAATAACCCATACAGGAAGCACATTTATTGTAACAATATACACCATCTGTAATGTTGTTCTCTATCAATAAAATCATTTAATTAACAATATATATATCCAATAGAAATATATGGAGGGTTATATAGAAAGTGTTGGTTCACCCTAAAATGAAAATTAAGTCATAATTGTTTGATCCTAGTTATGTTCTAATACCGAATGCCCTTTTTTCTTTGCCGGACCACAAAAGGCTTGTGCTCGTCCATATAATGACAGTGAATAGTGACCAGGAAAAGAAGTTATCGTGTTCACATCTGGCAACTGTCATTCACATCTGACAACTGGAGTTCCGGTCTGGAGATATTCAACTCACAGTTAAGAAAGCACACAGATAATTTTTTGGGATTTCTAGGCATTGTATTTCTGTCGTGTTTTTATTCATCTTAATTTTTCACAACTTTTGTGCTTTTTCTGGGTGAGTCAGATTGAACTGTGGCGCTAATAGAGTCTCATGAACGCGCACGTCACATTATAGCTTTGGACAGAAGACCAAAGGCCAAGGTCAGGATTTTTGTTAAATAATACTTTTTTTTTTACCAAACCATATCGTATACCCCCAAAACACGTTGGATATACAATATGTGTTGCATGGTATCATTCTTTTGCATATTTTATTAAAGGTTGCTGCTGATCGCTTACTGCCATATGCACGAGTGGGACATTTTTTTTTTCCTTTTGTGGTCTTAAAAAGAAAAAGCGGCATACAGTATAAGAACAACACCAGGGTGAGTAAATTATGACTTAAAGGAATTGTTCTCTTAAAAATGAACAGTTTGTGTGTTGATGACAGTTGATGAACCCCATTGACTTCCATAGTATTTTTTTTCCTATGGAAGTTAATGGGGCCCATCAATTGTCTGGTTACCGACATTCTTCAAAATATCTTCCTTTGTATTCAGCAGAAGAAAGAAATTCATACAGGATTGAAACAACTTGAGGGTGAGTAAATGATAACAGAATTTTAATTGTTAGGTGAAAAATTCCTTTAATTTTCATTTTAGGTTGAACTATCCCTTTAAGGCACATGGTGATGGGGAAAAATGAAATTGTATTTCAATGCTTTTGCGCTCGCTTGCAAAACTTTTGTGAATATTTCAGTGCTTTTGCAAGTGAACGCAAAGTTTCATGGGGATGCAAAACTTTGGTGAGAGAACACAAAGGTTCTGTGAAAAAAACGCAGCGTTTCTTGGGGAATGTAATACTTTTGAAAGAGAACACAAAATGTTGTGAATGAATGCAAAGTGTCTCATGGAATGCAAACGCAAACGCATTGAAATATAATTTGATCATATATTATCTCATTAGGGGCTCAAAAAGAATTGCAACAGACACATTTTCATGTTCTCAGGTTCCATGTTCTCTGCCACTTAGATAACTGAAAAACAAAATAAGTAGCTGTTACTACGCATGATCTGAGAAGAAACCAAAAAACTTTTACTGTTGTTTTTTTTTAACCGTAGATTTACTTACATGATCGGGATGGCACTAATGTAACTAATGGCACAGGAGAGGATGAAGCAGAAGCCACTGAACCAGCCGAGAGTTAGTGGATAAATGGAGGTGAAAAAGACATTAGACAAGAGGTCAGTCACAGCCAGAACCAGCTGGAGCAGCCCAAATACTCGCCCTGCCAAGAGAAACAGCAGAGGACTCTCATGAAGTATCAAATAGCATGCATCATGACCTCAAATATATGACTTGTACTTAGATGAAGCACATTCTAAGAGACTTCCATATATGGCCTGCTATAATAGTTTCTTCTGTCTCTAGTTTTTGTTTCTGTGCAGGTGTGACTTTACCATATTGCTGAGGAGGCAGATTCTTGGACAGCATTGCTCGCAGAGTTGGCATGGGAACGCAGGCAAACATCATGATTCCTCTAGCTGTATAATACAACACATCTCAATGCAGAAACTTACTAAAACCAAAACAGCTTAACAATGATGATTTTTTATATTGCACAGTATGTCAGTCATGTTGGACTTATGACACCTAGTAGTGTAAACTGATCCTTAAACTCCTAGTTAACTCATTGTCCACAGCAATATTCAAAGGTCCCATTATTATTTTTTTCTGTTGTTTACTGGATAGTCCAATTTCTACCTGATAAAATATTTTAGAGCTTGGTATAACTAAAAATGTATATTCAGTATAAAAATGCATGGAGTTGTAAGATTTTATTAATCTACATGACAACATGACAATGTAGAAGAAGATATTTTGAAGAATATGGGTTACCAAATAATTGATGAACCCCATTGACTGCCATAATATTTTTTTTCCCTCCATAATATATAAGTACTGTAAATGGGGCCGGGCCCATCGACTGTTTGGTTACCGAGATTCTTTAAAATATCTTCTTTTGTGAAAGAAATTAATAAAGGTTTTAACAACTTAAGGGTGAGTAAATTATTTTCATTTGAAATTTAAATTTTTGGGTGAATACCCCTTTAATACCAACTTACCCAGGAAGTAGACCCAGCTTTCTATTGCAAATGTCATGATTGCCATCCCTGTGCAGTTGGACACAATACCCAGAAGAGTGAGGGCTGTGTCCCCCAACACATTGAACAGAATCACAACCCCTAAGAAGCTACTGAGGTACATGGCACTGGTGGCGGCCCTGCCATATCCTGCCCACACCGAGTCCCAGCTCAGAGGGGGCTTCAGTACATACAGCTGGAGCACATTTTCTGCCCCGATCACGCCTAACATGAACAGCACCATGGCTGTCATCAGCATCCCTATGGAGACTCGATCCATCATGTTCCCACTTACGGATTCAGTCAGCAACGGCTCTCCCTCGGATTGAGAACATCTCAAGTCCGAGAAGGCAAACACAGTGTACAGTAGTGCCACAATGCTGACAAGAATTGCTGTCAGGAGGAGAATTGATGGTCCCATCTGGTACAGATATCCAGACAGGAGACCTCCTACGACCCCTGCGACCCCAAAACAGAAGTCCACGATGTTGAGTTTAAGAGTGCGTTTGCACTGCTCCGAACTCAGAGACGCCAGGGCAGCCACCCCGGCCCAGAACATTGGCCCGCCTCCACTCAAACCATGCAGCAAAGAGCCCAAGTACAGAAACTCCAGAGGAACATCACAGTACATGAAGATTACAAGCATAAACATGCCCAAAACTGAACCCATTTGAGAGGCCACCAGGAAGACTTTAGGTCCATGACGGTCTGCCATGCGGCTCAGTGGTATAATGGACAACATGGCCGCCACTGAGGATAACACACTCTGAATAAGAAGAAAGCGCGAGGATAACACCTGTGCTTGATCACTGTCTCCTCGTGTTGCCCTCAGCGACTGGTTGTACACAGTCTGTGTGAGGGCCATCTCAAAGAAGGACGTCCCCAGTTTATTGATGACAACCACTGGCTCCACTAAAGTTAGAATGACCCCCATTTGATTGGCAGACCTTTAAGACAAAAGATAAGCCTTATATATATATTAGTGCTGTCAATATATTACAAAAATTAACTAATTAATCACACATTTGTTCAGTAATTACTCATGAATAATCACGTTTTTTTTCTTCAAATGAAATGAGCAATCACAGCAATTCAACATTACAGTATAATTGAAAGCCATCGTTTTTAACATTAACAACTTTTAATTTAAATTAACTTAAAACAATCTTCACATAAAACCATTATAATAAATGTCACATTTAGTTATTGCTTTTGTTGTTTTTGATCCATGTAACCTTAATTAACCTTAAAAAATATGTTATGACATCAACATTTTACACCAGTGAAATTTCTCGGTTCCAATTTTTATACCACGACAAAACATATTGGCCTAACAACTATAACGTTTTTTTTTTTTTAAGACAAGAAAACAGTCAGTAATAAAATATGAATGCAATAACAAATTACAAGCAATAGTACAAACTAGTGGAGTAAAGTTTGTGAACAAACTTTGATGTTTAAAAAGCTTGAAGCAGTTTTAAGTTCATAGGGTGTTCTGAATGATTGCTATGCGGTTGCTAGGGTGTTCTGGATGGTTGCTAAGTGCCTCCACTCAGAAAAGTAACACGTACCATGTGACAGCGATGCTAAGTGCAAGCGCTTATATTTTTGTTATTGGTTCAGCCTTGTCAAGTACTCCGGTCATTTTTTTGAAGTAAACTAGAAATATGACATCCTTGTAAGCGTCTCAATTTACTAGAACTTTCACTAACATTGATTAACATTAATGACACCGACTGCAGCCGGTATATTAAGATGCTGTCACTTTAAGACCTAATGCAACATGACATGACACGGATTTGACACACAATTGATTTTCTCCCAAATCTTTGTTCAAGACCTTTTTTTTTATACTCATTTTAAAACTCATTTGAGACTGTGCTTATGAGGATACTCACCAAAAACGGGCACTCTATATATATATACACTCACCGGCCACTTTATTAGGTACACCTGTCCAACTGCTCGTTAACACTTAATTTCTAAGCAGCCAATCACATGGCGGCAACTCAGTGCATTTAGGCATGTAGACATGGTCAAGACAATCTCCTGCAGTTCAAACCAAGCATCAGTATGGGGAAGAAAGTTGATTTGAGTGACTTTGAACGTGGCATGATTGTTGGTGCCAGAAGGGCTGTGTCATGTTGGTATTTCAGAAACTGCTAATCTACTGGGATTTTCACGCACAACCATCTCTAGGGTTTACAGAGAATGGTCCGAAAAAGAAAAAACATCCAGTGAGCGGCAGTTCTGTGGGCGGAAATGCCTTGTTGATGCCAGAGGTCAGAGGAGAATGGCCAGACTGGTTCGAGCTGATAGAAGGGCAACAGTGACTGAAATAACCACTCGTTACAACCGAGGTATGCAGCAAAGCATTTGTGAAGCCACAACATGCACAACCTTGAGGCGGATGGGCTACAACAGCAGAAGACTCCACCGGGTACCACTCATCTCCACTACAAATAGGAAAAAGAGGCTACAATTTGCAAGAGCTCACCAAAATTGAACAGTTGAAGACTGGAAAAATGTTGCCTGGTCTGATGAGTCTCGATTTCTGTTGAGACATTCAGATGTTAGAGTCAGAATTTGGCGTAAACAGAATGAGAACATGGAACCATCATGCCTTGTTACCACTGTGCAGGCTGGTGGTGGTGGTGTAATGGTGTGGGGGATGTTTTCCTGGCACACTTTAGGCCCCTTAGTGCCAATTGGGCATCGTTTAAATGCCACGGCCTACCTGAGCATTGTTTCTGACCATGTCCATCCCTTTATGGCCACCATGTACCCATCCTCTGATGGCTACTTCCACCATGTCACAAAGCTCTAATCATTTCAAATTGGTTTCTTGAACATGACAATGAGTTCACTGTACTAACATGGCCTCCACAGTCACCAGATCTCAACCCAATAGAGCATCTTTGGGATGTGGTGGAACGGGAGATTCGCATCATGGATGTGCAGCCGACAAATCTGCGGCAACTGTGTGATGCCATCATGTCAATATGGACCAAACTCCCTGAGGAATGCTTCCAGCACCTTGTTGAATCTATGCCACGAAGAATTGAGGCAGTTCTGAAGGCAAAAGGGGGTCCAACCCATTACTAGCATGGGGTACCTAATAAAGTGGCCGGTGAGTGTATATATATATATATCAAATATTCTCAAATCAAATATTTACATTTTTTTAGCAAGTAAAAAGGCCCCTTTTATATAATTGTAAAATGTCCAACTTCAGGTTGTAGTGCATGTGTATTTTTGCTGTAAAATCTCTCACGATATGAAAACATAAGAATAACTGATATTTTTAGGAAGCAACTTTAAGGTGTCTACAGAATAAAGCCATAAATATTTTGGTATATTCCAAATATTGGAATATATTCCAATATTCCATATAGCATAAAGTAAAAAATAAACTTCCAAAAATAAAGCCACCTTGAAAAATATTCACTGTAGTAAAAAAGTGTGACAACTAGCCCCAGTCTTTCCATATTATTGGCATTAATGTTCCATGGAAATAAAGAGAAAGAGAACAACAGTACAAGCTGAAGTAGGCCTATGTTGTCTTTACATGGCACAAAGATTAAGATTGATCATCTTCTAAATCAAAATGATAAATGCTGAATAAAATATGTCATCTCACTGATTACACAATAGCAGATGTTATGCAATTACACTCATGCATTTGAATGCCAGTACAGGCTAATATGAAAATTGATGTTAATATACAGAAAAAAAATCTCACGATATACTCACAGGATTTGATCCACTGGAAATGGATTTTAATTGATGTGAAAGCGTGGTAAGCCCCGCTTGGCATTGAACTTAGTTTAAATCAGGATAGAAGCTGTGTGATTTAAGTGAAAGTGATTTTAAAAGGAAACGTGCTGCTGCTTGTAAATGCATCTACTGTACCATGAGATTCCCTCAATTTCACCTCGGAGAGCATAAAAACACAAAGTGTGATATCAATACACAAGGGTTCGTTCAGAGGTGGTTTTGAGTCTTGTCTAGCGTCTGTGGTTTTATTTAATCTGTTCTGCTGTTGTGTAGACATATTTATGACACTGCCATTGAATTACCAAACAATTAAGCAAATTACGTTGCAAGCATTTAGAAAAATCATGTTAATAGAGTTTATTCACTAGGGGGCGCTGTAGTGCCATAGTCATACATGTGCTGGCATTCAAAGAAACAACAACAACAGAACCCAGTAGCACCTCAATGCAGTACATAAGATCCACAGGGAGGAGTCGGATCAAGATCCGAGGGGTGGAGATGGGTAGGATTAGGGGTGGGTTTAGGGATTAGGGGTGTGTTTAGGGATCAGGGGGCGGAGATGGGTAGGTTTAGGTATATGTAAGGTGGGAGGAGTTGGATCTGGATCCGACTCCTCCCCGTGGATTTCATGTTCTGCAGTGAGGACCATCTCACAGAACCACCACATTTAACTTGAATGAATTTAACAGAAATATTGGACATAGGTATTCATTAGATGGACTGGAGCCTGAGACCATGTGAAGAAAAGATTATTTTTCAGATTTTGACAGTGCTAAATTAGTCGGATGAGAATATTGGTGGAACTTGTTAACATAGTAGTTAGCAAACAAGTCGAGATACTCAGTTGTTTTGCACTTTTTGCAGATTATAAATGTATAATTTGATTGTTTGTTTTTTGTTATCTAACTTTTTTTCCCACAATAACTAGACTATTGTTTTCCAACCTTTTCTGTCTTATGTGTCCCAACAAATTAATAAGGCTCAAGTACACCTTCATAAACACCAAACATTCAGCATATACTTAAAGTCAGCCATTATTGATGTTGAAAAAAAGAAATAATAATAAAAAATAATACTGATTGTAAAAAGCGACTCAGCAAATGTATAAAGCCCTATTTCCTTTCCTTTTCCATTATGTTTGATTTCCTTAAAAGTGAGAAGTGATAAAAGTGTCTGAAAAAGTGATATCATAAAATTTCTCTTTCGCTTAAAACCTTTTGCAGTACCACTGGTTGGGAATCACTCTCCAGTCTCTTGACTCTTGTAGCAAATCTTATATTATACAAAAATGTAATAAATATTTTTGACTAAATGAAACATCTCTACTAAAATCAAGCATTTTATTAAATATTTTGAATATTAGTGTATTATCATTATTTTTATTATTAGGTTAACAACACATAATACATCTATTAAGTTAATTTTGATATACCAGACTATTATTGAAACAAAACTCTTCTGAGTGATGATGACATAACTTACAATGTATAATCTTTAAGTAGATTGGACTTTTTTTTCTTTAAAAAAAGACAATTCTCATATCACATTTACAATACTGCAAAAATCTCCAGAGCAACTTTTTGAATCTTCAAAATTCAATACAAAATGAATATTCTATTAATATTTTACATTTTTCAGTTAAAAGCAAGATTCAATATTAGTTCAAAGCGGAGACCTTTGTTAGATCAACAGGCTTGTGTGTGTTAATGAGTTCATGTCCAGGTCCAGATTTCTTAGGCCCTCCTCTTTACGTAGGAACCTGGCTCTGTGATTATACTTTTCTTCATTTGTTTTATTCCTCATATAAAAAGCAGGCTGACCTATCAATTTAAGCACTGATGAAGGTCATTGAAAAATCTGCACTATACAGTTTGATGTTTTATTTTCATTTTTTATAAATGTGTATTTTTTTTAAGAATAAAGAATGATAGTTAAATGTTACTGTTAATCTACTGGGCGGAGAAAGAGATAAAGAAAGTTTTCATTATTGCATTTGCAAGAGCTTCTCTGTAGAAGCGAATGCATACAATTCACCCCAAGCAGGCAAGATGCTCTCCACACCTACACTATTTCCACCATGCCAGTTGATTCTAAACAGCCAGCAAAACTGTGAATGAGATGCCCATCCATGTTTCACGTTCATTGACTTTATATGGTGAGGTGGCGCAAGTAGTGTGTCTGTAAGTGAAATATGGTATTAAAACTAGTCCATTAAGTCATCCTTGTCTGAAGATGATTTCAGGTGTGCATCCTGTTAGGTCGATGACGATTCATTAGCTCTCCTGGTTGGCGTACATGCCAGCCTCCCACTGCAGGGCTCGTTGGTTTTTATGCCTTGTTACACGGGTGGCCTCTACGACCTGCGGAGAAACCACTGTTACACAACATGATCAAACTCTTTATCAGAGGGCACTTGACATAGAAAACCTCATCTCACCTCGTTATTTACGGCATCAACAGGTTGGATCCCAGCGTACTGAGAGACAATGAGGAAAGAAAAATTTATAAAGAGAAAATTTTTAAACGTCTCTAAATTAGGGATGTCCCGATACCACTTTTTCACTTCCGATACCGATACCGATGCCGCAGCTTTGGCTTTTGCCGATACCGATATTAATCCGATATTTTTAGTTTATTCTTAAACTAATAAAAAATATAGCAATTTTCTCAATTAGCCACCTAAAATATACCTCCTATATAGTCCACAACAACAGTTGATTATGAAAGATTGCCACCCTTTATTCAAACACTACAAAAAAATAAAGAAATATATAAATGAAAGAAAATACAGATACTTCAGTACTTAAAGCTAGCTAGCTACCAACAGGTTTAAAGTTAAAACAATTTAAACAGCAGCATTCTACATTGTAAATACCAGTACAGTTTTTGTTTTTTAAATCAAGTAGAATTTCTATAACTGTGTGTTAAACTGATTATCACTCTTGTGTGTGTTAAACACAATCTACTTAATACAGACAGCTTCATTATAAAGATAAACAACAAATCCCCAAAATATATGATCATAATCTATGACAAAAATGCTATTATAAACTAGATTAGTGGATAATACAACATTGCTCTTCTTATTGTTGTAAAATACATTCATGAAAAACAAGGGTAACAAAAATGAAAAAGATAATTATTTTAGATATAGCTAAATCTGCTATAAAATTGAGACATGTTTTAAGTGTATTGCACAGCTATTTAATGAGGCAGCAACATTAATAATTATTAATGTTAATAAGCTTTAATTGCGTCACTGCATTATGATATGAAAGGCTTCAATACAGTGCGGCACAAAGCGCGTATGCGCATCCCGAGCGGAGAATGATGCGCTTGAAGCCACGTGGAGTTACAGCACGCAGCGCGTCGAGTCCGCTTTGAAAAGTTCAAAGCACAACGGAGATACATATTGATGGACAGTGTATTATACAGTATCTATCTATGCAATCGTTTATTGAGCCTTTTCTTTTAACAGTTTTAAATTTTAGTTACTGTGCGCGTGAAGAACAATTATAGTGCTCTGACTCTAGTGTTGTGATCAAACCCTATGGATCAAACCGACAGCGTCCGACACCCGGTAGAGAGTAACACGATTGAGTTACAGGCTACAGCAATAAAGTCCAGCAAGATAAAGTTGTTATATGCGAAAACATAGACCTTTATCTTACAGATCAAGTATAATAGTATTAACATTGAATCATCTTGAAGATAGTTTCATCATTGACTGTAACCGAACGCGACGCGCTGTTTGAATGCTGAATGGAGAATGACTGACAGCCGCGAGAGGGAAAAGTTTACGTGATCTTGAATTTAATGACTTAAATATTAATTTCTATCTCACATAATGGCTTCAGAACACTTATAATAGAGTGCACGAAAACGTTATGGTACTTTAGAATGTTTTTTTGCCTTTTGTGGGGCTTAACAATAACACATAATAGTATACCCACAATATCGGATTTGGATCGGCCTCGTCTGATCGATGTCTGATCGATACCCGATCCCGCAAAAATGGCAGTATCGGAGCCGATACCGATCCTGAGTATCGGATCGGGACATCCCTACTCTAAATACATTGTTAAAACTGTATCTATTGTATACACTCACCTAAAGGATTATTAGGAACACCATACTAATACTGTGTTTGACCCCCTTTCGCCTTCAGAACTGCCTTAATTCTACGTGGCATTGATTCAACAAGGTGCTGAAAGCATTCTTTAGAAATGTTGGCCCATATTGATAGGATAGCATCTTGCAGTTGATGGAGATTTGTGGGATGCACATCCAGGGCACGAAGCTCCCGTTCCACCACATCCCAAAGATGCTCTATTGGGTTGAGATCTGGTGACTGTGGGGGCCATTTTACTACAGTGAACTCATTGTCATGTTCAAGAAACCAATTTGAAATGATTCGAGCTTTGTGACATGGTGCATTATCCTGCTGGAAGTAGCCATCAGAGGATGGGTACATGGTGGCCATAAAGGGATGGACATGGTCAGAAACAATGCTCAGGTAGGCCGTGGCATTTAAACAATGCCCAATTGGCACTAAGGGGGCTAAAGTGTGCCAAGAAAACATCCCCCAAACCATTACACCACCACCACCACCAACCTGCACAGTGGTAACAAGGCATGATGGATCCATGTTCTCATTCTGTTTACGCCAAATTCTGACTCTACCATCTGAATATCTCAACAGAAATCGAGACTCATCAGACCAGGCAACATTATTCCAGTCTTCGACTGTCCAATTTTGGTGAGCTCTTGCAAATTGTAGCCTCTTTTTCCTCGAGTGGTACCCGGTGGGGTCTTCTGCTGTTGTAGCCCATCCGCCTGCGTGCTGTGGCTTCACAAATGCTATGCTGCATACCTCGGTTGTAACGAGTGGTTATTTCAGTCAAAGTTGCTCTTCTATCAGCTTGAATCAGTCGGCCCATTCTCCTCTGACCTCTAGCATCAACAAGGCATTTTCGCCCACAGGACTACCGCATACGGGATGTTTTTCCCTTTTCACACCATTCTTTGTAAACCCTAGAAATGGTTGTGCGTGAAAATCCCAGTAACTGAGCAGATTGTGAAATACTCAGACTGGCACCAACAACCATGCCACGCTCAAAATAGCTTAAATCACCTTTCTTTCCCATTCTGGCATTCAGTTTGGAGTTCAGGAGATTGTCTTGACCAGGACCACACCCCTAAATGCATTGAAGCAACTGCCATGTGATTGGTTGATTAGATAATTCCATTAATGAGAAATTGAACAGGTGTTCCTAATAATCCTTTAGGTGAGTGTATATGTATTTTAATAAATATATTATTCAAAGATATATTACTTTTTTCTTCCTTGGATTTGGAATTCGGGATGACATTAAAGGGATAGTTCACCCAAAAATGAAAATTACCCCATGATTTACTCCCCCTCAAGCCATCCTAGGTGTATATGACAAAAGCTAGTTATTTTAGTCGATGAAGGTTTAAATATGGGTATTTTTCTTACACAAACGCATCACTTCACTTCAGAAGGCCTTAATTAATCCACCAGAGCCGTGTGGAGCACTTTTATCATGGATGGATGCACTTTGATGGAATATACAGCCATTCACTGCCATTATAAAGCTTGGAAGAGCCAGGACATGATTTATGTTTTAATATAACTCCGATTGTATTCATCTGAAAGAAGAATGTCATATACACCTAGGATGACTTGAGGGTGAGTAAATCATCGGCTAATTTTCATTTTTGGGTGAACTATCCCTTTTAGGTGATTACATGATGGCACAATTTAAATTTTTTGGATGAACTATCCCTTTAAGTGCTATTTACTTAGGAGCTTTGTGATATCAAACTGTTTCCTGAAAGAAACTTACTGCACTTTCTTCCAGCTTCAGTTTGACACGTCTGTCCTCAAAGTCCTTTAGCAGTGTCTCAGTCAGACCTTTCTGGGAGACAGGTGATGACACATCGGCAAGTGTGCTCAAGGGATTGATGGGGGTTGCTCGGGAAACAGTTGGGGACATAGGTTTTGGGCTTCCCCATGGCTGGGGTGTCATAATTGACATAGAGGGCAGTCTGGAACTGGGTCGTTGTGAGGACAACTGTAGACTTTTATCTGGAGAGATAAAGCAAAACAAGAGATTATGATTATGATCCATTCACCTACTTAAACAAGTCATTCATTTCCCAATTCCTTTTCTCTGGATTACAGTTAAAATGTTTGAATACTGTTTCATGTTTTCCACTGAGCATTTTTTTTAAATAAATACATCTGAACATACAATACTATATATCTGTTGAAATGTAGGTCTCAATTTCATTGTGGATACAGATTCTGTACTGATAAGTGTACTATAACCTTGGCCTGACATGAATCCATGGTTTATTTGTAGAGGGCCAAGCACCAGCACAAATTATATCAGAAAACAAGACATAGCATGTATGCATTGGATTGTCTGAAAAACAGTCTTTAACTTGAAATGTGCATTTACATCCATAAAGTAAATGATTAATCATTCTTCAGTGAAGCAGAATGCCATGTCATGTCCAAAGTTCAGAAACTAAGTTGGCAATTCTTTTTTCATTCCTTGGTGCTGCTGACATCCATAAACATTTAACACTTAAGTTAATCAGTTAGCTATAAACAAGAAAGTTATGAAATGCATTTGCCCCAAACATTGAACAGAATAATAAGACAATAGTGCCTATATGCAGTCCCCCTTTGCCCATTTGTTATGTTTATGTTGGCCATGTATTGAGTGCAGTGAGACTGAACAGTTTTACCTGCCATGGATAATCGAGAGACAGAGAAAGTGTCCAGACTCCAGGAATAAGGGTAACTATAATCAGTCTTCTTTTCTGGAAATACAGAATCCACTTCTGCTATGTCCCCATGTGGAGTTTGTGGTGAGAATACAGTTTCCGCACTACTATATAATGGAGATCTGGGTTCAGAGGAAGTAGGCACTGAAGTCTTGGGTGCTGAGGTGAGTACTGAGAAAGACTCTCTCAGATCTTGGAGCTCTTGTTCACGCCTGAGGTCCTCTTCAATTTCCTGGCGGATGCTGTCTGGGGCATTCTGCATTTTGGGGCTCCAGTTGGTGTGCTCAAGCTGAGATCTCCTTGTAGGAGTGTACCAACTATTTTTTGTGGGATCCAGTGGGGACGGAATATTTGGAGAGTATAATCTGTTCTTTCCTAACATGCTGTTGTCGTTTTCTGCAATCCAGGGTGGCTCTTTTTCTGTTATGAGGTTATTGGTTTGGCAGTCAACACCATTTTCTTTATATACCCTTACTTCAGAATGGTTGTTTTCCTCAGAATATGCACTCGTTTGGGCTTGGTTTCCAAAAGTGCTGCTGTCAGTGTTTCTTTGAACCATAGATTCATCAGGATGTCGATGAGGACAGCAAGGCGAAAGAACCTCCTTTGAATCTGAGATGTCACCTTCATCTACTAGTACAGGTTGCTCTGTAATCCACATGTCATTTTCAGAGACTGCTATTTGCTCTACATCATTTGAGAGACTTTCTCTTAAACTTGTCCTCATAGATGTGATTACAATTTCATCGGGTTGTGAATCAAATGACTTCTTGTCCTGTACTTGGTTCTCTCGAATATGGTGACTTGAAACACGTTGCGTGTTATGTCTCTGTTTCTCAAGTTCAAGCTCTCTCTGAATAAGGAAACTCACTCTGTTTGTTTCTTTGGCTTTTGCAGCTTTCACCTGTGAAGACGACAAGGTCAGAATTGGTTTTGTCCTAATCTCCACCATCTCTGAATTGTCTGAGCGCAAGATACCCCTTGATCGCCTTAGACTCTCTTCACGTTGTTGGGAAATTCTGATTTCCCTTTGAATGGGAGTCTCATCTGCACTAAGCATTGTCAAGCTACTTCCCATCTCTGAAATGGAAGGTTCGTTCGAAATGCTCCAATTATTGGCGTAGCCTTCACTTCGGTCACCAAGACCAGAATCAACATCATCTATGGCACCACTCAGAACACCATCTTCTGTAGCCTCAGTCACAGTTACAGTCTTTACTTCTGCCTCTTGTTGTGTTGCTAGTGGGATCTGCTTCTCCTCTAGGCTGTTCTCTTTGCTTACTTGTTTTGTAGTGAAGATGTTGGCTGTTGAGGATAGAGATTGTCCTCGCAATTTAGGGGAGTAAGGAATCGGCTGAGAGCTCTGTAGGAAGGGGTTCTGTTTTGATCTTTCCATCATTAAAAACTGCTTTCGTGCTGCATTGAAATCAATTTGCTCATTGTCTATGGTGCCAGGCTCAACCCTGGCCTGTTCGGTCTTTGCACTCACTGGTTTGTAGCGTAGACTAAACCCATCCAGGAGCCTTTGTGGCATGTTACTGAGGTCTAGATTTTCCAAGGCACTCCACTGCTCTTTAAGGGCAGGGCTATTCTTGGGTGCCTGATTCCGGATGATCTCAATTCGATCTTGATTTTCCTCCTCTTCATTCACTGTGGAGGCATCCCTCACTCTGTAAAGGTCATCTCCGTTAGTTTCTTCGAATAGCCTTCCAGGTCTCTTTTCCTCTGTGTACGTCTGCAGTTTAAATGTGCTCTTCTCCTTCAAGGTATTCAGTTTGGCCTGTCTTTTTGGAGAAATCATGTAGACTTCATTCATCTCTGCTTCTGGGCTTGCTGGGTCATCTACGAAGGAATAGAACCCAACATGTGAGCCTGTGCTGCTGGCAGTTCCAGGGCTGCTGGGGTTGCTTGGGGTACTGGCCATCCAGTCCTCACTGTCACTTCCATCCTCAGACACAGACACTTGTCGAGCCTGGACCATCATGTCTGGGGTGCTTTTACCACTGCCAGATGACCCCTTCAGAGTGGGCTGCATGCCTGTTACTGTTATGCTTTCCAAACTGAACCTGAGAGAGTCACCCTCCTCACTGCTACTCCACGTGTTCTCTAGCGACTGTGGTTGACCAGTAGGGCTCAATATGGAGCGCAAATCCGACTGCTCTAGCTTAGGGGAGAAGGGCTTTATTACCCAACGCTTTGGGTTGCTGGTCATGGGGACTGGTGGATGGTTTGGGGCAGGCCTGGGAAGTAGAGGTCTCAGAGAAGGACGGGGATGAATCACAGCCTGCTCCTCTAATGAGGGGGGTGTGCATGAATCATATGGGTTGACTGTCACAGTTGATGCCTGTCTCTGGGTAACAACAAAGAAACGAAAGAAAACAGATTTACTACTGGAGCGTGTGGAGAGTATCAGATGTTTGACACATATTGTGTGTAGTGTGTAAGTAAAAGTGACTAAGTATCTCCAGATATGTAACATGCAAGGTTTAAGATGTCTGAGCTTAAAAGGTTAAGCAAGTTGTGTCTAATGAGTGAAAAACATTTACAATGTACATTTAGAACTTCTATGAAACATTTTACACACATTACATTAAACAGAAAGTCATGATAATTTAAAACTGTAAAAAATATAATGCATAGAGGGAGATAATACACTTTCACTTTCAATACACTTGCCCTTTGTGAAAATACACCATAGTTCTTGCAGAGTAACCATGTTTTAACTGTGGTATTTTGTAAAATTTGGTTTAATTTCTTTATGTTGATGGCTAATTCCAAGCTATCACAGTTTTATAATAACTGTTATTTTAGTGGAAACTATGGTTACTATGGTCAACTTTACAACTGACATAATTGTTATACAATGCATTTCCATGACTGTTTAGAATGAACATTTCCTCAATTTACAAAAAAATATTTCCTTACTATAGTACAATCATGGTAAATTGATATAGTTTCATCAACTCAGCCTACTATTCAGCTGAAAAACAATGTTTCTGTTTGCCTTTTTTTACAGTATAAAAAGACCCATCTTCTACTTTGTATTAAGACATCTGTCTGTATCTCTGTAGTAAGAATTTACATATTAAATTATAAAAATGCAGTAAATGGGTTATTTAAAAGCTATACATTTTATGATTTTTAATAATACAATTAGTACATTTTTAATAAACCTATAAAAACTAAATTTGTATAATAATTTCTGATGATTTAATCTAATTTAGGTCTAATAACTTCTGATGAAAAAAGTATTTGAAAATGTATACAGCTTCAGATGGTGTGAAAGGTTTAAAAAGCTGTCACTCACCTCAAGTTATTGAAGAGATTTGTAATATTCTATAATTTATATAAAATAATTTAGCATTGCGGGAAAAACAGTTACTGCATCAAAACAATAGATAAGACTGTCTACTCTGAACAAGCTTACGTAGTTGTAAGGGAGTTTTGCTTACTGCTAGTGGGTGCCAATATGTGACATTGTGAACTGTGAACCGCTGATAAACTGATTTCCTGGAAACCGCTGCTCTGCCTATGCTGATTGGCTCAGACTGTTTGAGGGGTGTCCCAAAATGTGCATAAAATGTACTGTAGCTTTACAGTGTGTTGACCAAAGCATAGAATCATGCAAGTCATGTTACAGGGAGTCTTTACCAAATACAAGCTTTTTTATTATTATTATTATTTTTTCATATGTACCCACTAGATTAGAGCTTCATTTCCAGATCCAAATGCAATTTCATGAAATTTTAACAACCACTGATAACAGAACAGCCATGTTTTGATAGATGCTCAGTGGAATGTGGAATGGACTCAACATAAAAAGCACATGTAGGTGCACAAGCTGCTCTTTTATTTTCTTTCAGACAGATGCAATCGAAGTACTCTATAAAAAATAATTGCAAGATACATAACCATATTCAACCTGATCAACCTTTAGTGTACAGTGACAATAAAATGGCTGAAAGTGAAAACATTCCCGCCATGAAAAAGATTATAATATTGAGATACGTACTTTTGTCTTTCAGAAAAACGGAATGTTCAGCTACAAAGTTGTACTCTTTTAATTTACTGTTTACATTATATGATTTAGGCATCTTATATATCCTGTCTCTCTTACAAATGATCTCACACCTTTCAAATGTATAAATAAGATTAGCTATTTATTCTAACGTAACAAGACTTTAAAAAAAATACGTTTTAGCCAAAGAAAAAATGACCAACACTCACCCTCTGACATCAGAAGTGGAATCAGAGCCTGTAGTGTCACATGAAGGAGGCACTTCTGTCTTTACTGCACTGACTTGACAAAGTTCAGCTAATATAATATCATATATGCAGACACACCCCACACCCAGACTGAAGGAGTGCAACAGACTGATAGATTGTGGAATGGGTTTTGAGGAAGAATAGGCACCTGGCAGATTAATATAAAAGCTTATTACTGATCCATCTGTACACAACCATCTGATGGTTAAAATTAGAGATGTTTAACAGGCCTGAATAAATTAATAAACATTCTTGTTAACTACGATGTATCCGTATGGACTGTAGTGAGGATAACAACAACAGTGCAATTAAAATTAAAGCTGAAGCTGTCATTTGAGCTGTGCAGTGAGTTGAGGAAAACACTTGGGTCAGAGCAGATGGATGAGTGTAAAATAAAGAGCATGACACTCATATACATTCCAGACTTTATGGCCAAGCAAAGTCATCCCCAGTAACTTTTTAACTAGTCATGTAAAAAAAAAGAAAAAAAAGTCTATTACAGAGTCCTTTCACTTTTGTGCACAGAGGTTTCTGGGAATTGAAAAATACAAATCCTGACATCTAGTGGATAAGAACCATAAACTAGGGAATGTCAAGCAGGATGGCAGGGTCCATTTACATGACACCATTTTAAACTAAAAACTCGGGCTTAGCCATCATTTCAGAAGTGAGGGGGACAGAAATGTCAGGTGTAATACCAGTTTTTATCTGACCTTTGTCTAATTGACAGATTTTTGATTTCATCGCTTGCTTTTAATTAGGTAAGAAATAAAATACATAGCTGAACAATAACCACTAATATCTATAATACATGTTTCTTATATTTTATGACAATTTTATGATTGGTTTATGTACTGTGCATTTGTGCAAGTCCTCATGGATTTTATACAATGTAAAAGTTTGAAACATAACAATTGTTTAATGTTTTTGAAAGTCTCTTCTGCTCACCAAGGCTGCATTTATTTAATAAAAAATGCAGTAAAAACAGTAATATTGTGAAATAGTATTACAATTTAAAATAGATGTTTTCTATGTGAATATATAGTAAACTGTAATTTATTCCTGTGATCAAAGCTGAATTTTCAGCATCATTATACTCATATACATCATATACTTTATTGTCAATAAATACCTTGGAGATGGCCTGAAAAACACACAACCATATATTGTCACATTCGTGTGTTTATTGTCTTCAAGTTGCATCAGTCAAAACATTTCTGTTTTTTTTTATTCAGCTGCTGCTATAGCCAATAGCTGGATGCCTTTGTCCATATAAGTGATTTCCTGGAACGTCATAAGTTATTACTTCTACGAATCCGTTTGGGCTTTCTGTGAGAGAGCGCCCTCCGGCTTTGTGTAAGAAAGAATCATAAATTACATGACAGTGTTAGCGCCCCATAATGTTCATATTGCCTCGTTTTGGAAAAGAATAAAATGATATCATGCATAGACTATCTTGAAATCTCTTTGAATTAAATCTTATTTATTCACATTGGCCTCTATGTGAACACACTTGACCCGCAAAAAATGCGGGGGACGCATTTATGTTTCAGGGGCTGAAAAATGCTAACTTTTAAAAACGGGTTTCAAAATGCAAGTTTTTAAACAATACCGTTATTGTCTCCATGTAAACTACAAAAATGTGGATTTGTGAAAACGGTTATGCCATGCGCATGCGTGTATTACATGTCTAGTCTATAGATAGGCACGTACTGATAGATAGGCACAAAGTGACCGTCAACTACTGGCATTGCTTGCATAAAACAGCGTTTTTAATAGTTTTCGTGGATACGTGTGAAAGGGATCACTTTGACAACGTTGTAGTCAGGACGCGAAAAACGCAATGGAAAGACTTTTCTGTTTTTAGTACATCGCTGTAAGTTAATTAAAAAATTATAATGTTTATTTATATGCGTTAAAAAAATTACAATATTTTCTAAGTTTTTTTTTTTTTTTTAGGTAAATATTTCTTTGCCAAACCACTTTAAAATGTATTAGATAAAAATAAAGTACAATGCACAAGTATTTGACTTGACTGGGTACATCAACAATGAACATATTTTTAGCTATTTAATAAAAGCATTAAAATACTAAAACACAAAAATACACTAGTATTGTACCATACACATTTATTTTATTTTATTTACAGATGACTGAAATTCCATATATGTATAAAACTTTAAATATTTTGTAAACCTGGTCAAGACAGGCTAGTTTGTCAATTTATTGTTGTAGAATAAAATACTTTTTAAAGCCCTATAACATACAAGCACTTCTTGAAACATGTATTTGTACAACCTTACCTTAAAATCACGATCCAGGCTGTTACACAGCACCTGCCAGGGAGGTGTGTACCTGAACATGCTGCTCGCTGTGCGTCTGAGCTGGTGTTTGCTGCAGTTCTACTTGCTTATTAGAGTTTCACAGGAAAACCCAGCATGCAGTTATCTCAACTCAGTCCGAATGAGTCCAGTCTGTGGAGGAAGTTGGGTTAATGAGGAGAGGGTAAAGTGAAAGGAAGAGGACAATCATTTTCATATAACATAAAATATCAACAATCACCATATCAATTAATGTACAAATACTCTAGTATGTGTCAGATAATACAAAATATTGTATGATACAATATATTTGCAAAGTGTTTTTTAATCTCAAAATAAGATATTCTTCCTCTGACTCACCTCATCTTTTGCAGGCCCATGGATACAGCAAGACCATCGTGCTTAATACCGCTGAAAGATACAATCAAAGCAGGGCCCGGCCTCCCCATCTGTAATTCTGCAGGGTTCAGTCTGGTTTAGACCGCATCAGCCACACTTGACACTTTCCCACCCACCACCCATAAAACTTGTGTTTTGGCTCAATTGCTCTGGTAAAGCCCCTCCTCCAATATGGCTGCATGTGTTGTTTACCGTTCTCAGCCAAACCGAGAAGTATCATCTTTAGCGAAAATGCCAAAAATGTATGTGGGGTGACCTGGCCCATGGTCAAAGATTCAGTGCATGCATGCGTGTCCCTGCTGAGGGCAGGGATACCAGTCTGGAATACTGCTATAATCAGCAACCTTAGAACAAAAGCTGAGAATACCACTCTACTATCCAATAATGCACCTCATAGTTGCTCTCTAGCCTGGTCATTTAGTCATTGACAAAGGAAGTGACAATGCCGCAGTGGCTCTCAGATTAGTTCTGAATGGCAGCAGAGTGGCGTTCCTCAGGTCTCGCTACTAGGCCCGCAACGAGCTTGTATTTTATAAATTAAGAAAAATTCTTTCCTTGCTTAATTCCCTTACTCCTTGACTGTGTTCTTTAAAAATCTACTAGTTTGTGTCAGATGTTGATTCAGTAACCACTCTGATGATTCATCAGACTGATTCAAACTGGCAACTGATAAAAGGCATTCGTTCAGGAGTCATACTACACTTGTCATACTGTATGTTTTCAATTCACTAAAAAGAACTGGCTCATGAGAGACATGTGTTCTTGAATCAGACTATATTGCTATTTGTTTTCGATTCAATAAGAAGAATCAGCTCATACGAATCATGAGTTTGTGAATCAGACTCCACGGGCCATGCTGTATGTTTTTGAATCACTAAAAAGAACTGACTAATTTGTTCCTTAATCAGACTACACTGGTCGTACTGTATGTTGATTTTACATTTAACAACGCTTTTCTCCAACATGACATTTCTTTGCCATTATTTTGCTGTGAACTATATTTGTATTGCATTGCATCCAATACAGACTGCAAACTCACAAAATGAATCTTTTGCTTTTGCTTTGCTTTATAAAAAATGTGGAGAAGGGAGTGCTGGTAGATCCTAAGAAGCACATGGTACATTTGTTGTTACAAAGAAAACAAGACAGACGCAGGGATTTCCGTAAAGCACATCACATTTTAATGTCTCGTTCCAACTCTTTCTACAGCTCTGTCAGGTTGATTAGAAAGCAGACCTTCACAACACACAGACAACAGTGGCAGTAATAGCACACACACTCATTATCAGGAGAACCAATAAGAGAGGGCTGTTCAGACAGGCAGAGAAGTACCCCGTCTGGGCCGCCCATTATCAGTACTCATTAGAACCAGGTTATATGTTCCTACATTGTCCTCTGTTCTATCATGCCTTTGAACTCAGCTTGACATCAAGGGTTAGGGGGTTCAAGCACAGGGACATTATCTAACATGGAAATGTATATGTATATGTAGATATGTGTGATTTTTGTACCTATAAAAGCATGCAACTATACAAAAGAGATACGCCGAGCCCGTGGCCAGACAACAAGGCATTCAGGGGTGAGGAACAAGTCGGAACTGGAATGTTAGTACTGACGGACAGTAAGGTGAGCGGCAAAAGTGTGAGGCAACCGTGAAACTCACAGTGAAGCAAAGACTTTAAAGGAGGAGTCCCAGATGAGGATTGGGGGAAAAGCAGACTGGTTCTTGATCAGCTGAACCATGAATTATAAACTCATAGATGCTGCTTTACATCCCCAAACTGTGTACATGGAGAAGTGAAAATGTGCAAGTGTGTAAACATGAGGAAACAAGATAAACAGTAAGGTTGTTTTTTTTTTGCATTCATGCTGACCTCATTTGGCTCCTGGGCCTCTGAACACACACGCATATTGATTTCCACAGAGCTCATCCCAGTGATTCGGGCAGTTAAACAGATATTACAACTATGTAATTAAAATGGGAGATACATGACACATATTAACTGACATAAATCAAAACACACACTTCATCTAGCACATCTCTACCAGGGCCATATAATTAATTAGTCTAAAATTAGTTCATAATTTGTCATCGAATTAAATCGATGAAGCAAATAATTTACAAAATAAGGTACACAACAGATTTAACATTCATGAAGAAACCCTCCAATGTAACGTAATGTACAATTAAAGGTGCATTTAGTAGTTTGGCGCTAATTCTGAAACATGAAAAAATAAATTGTTTTCGTAAAGTGTCATCTGAACGGTGCACACTCACATGAGATGAAGACTATACTCATAAAAGATGTTTATAAAAGCGTTTTAAGTATGTATATGCTGTACGCTACTAGCATAGTGTTGTTTGGCGATTCAGAGAGCGTAAATTAGACAATAGACACTCTAATAATAATGCTTTAGTGTTGAGAGAAACAAAATATTTTAGACTTTGTAACCTAGGTTCGACTTGTTTTCTGAAATCACATCATGTTGGCCAGTTTCACACATGCTCGGAAAACACTGATTCAAAACAAATGATTTGCAGGCTTCATTAGCAGTGTTTTGAAAGCACCCATCACAACCTGCATGGCCGAAGACGCAGAAAAAGTCTGAAGCCAGAAGACAAGACAAAAAAAAAAAAAGGTGGCATATTACACAAGGTGGGGAAGATTTGATGATGGAGAAAATCCTGATATTTATTCAGAAGTTGGTTCTTTTCTGTTGGACAGCTAAGGGAGTTTATTATTCTGTAGAAGACTGCTTGCTAAAACTCACTAGATTGATAAAACTCGAGATGATTGTGCTAGACCACATCAATAGATAACGCCATTGTGATATCAGACTACTGGATGCACCTTTAATCTTACTAGCAATGGAAAACATGGAAATAAAAAGCAAAATAAATTTAAAATAGCACCGCATTAAACCATAATGCAGTCAATCACCCATCTCTTCAACAAAAACTATGCTTTTTGTTTTTACTGAAGCATTTGGCATCATAGCTACTTTAAGGGCAATTTCAACTATTTTTGTTAACACTTTTTTTTCCCTAAAAGAATCTAAAAAAAGAAGAAAAAAAATCTTCAATACTTGGCATGGTAACCTATTAAACTTTTCCTGTCGCCTTGCCACACTTCCCCTCATTTCATCGGAATAGCTAAGGAAGGGCGGATAGTGTCCTTCCTGTCTTTCCATTCTTGAACTGTTATGATTGTTGTTCAACTGAGAGAGCTTTGCTTATTCTGACACTAGTTTACACGCATGAGGGCTCTTGCATAGGATTGGCTGCAGCAGTTTTCTAATGTCACATGTTGGAAATGAGCTGTCAATGACCCTTCCTGAATGCTAATGGCAGTGCAGACTGGAATACAATCAAAATACCATCCTGGACACAGCCAGCTTGATACTTCAACAGCTCTTAATGTCAGAACAAGGGCAGGGCTTTTTCAATAATCAAAATGCATATGAGAGATGCGGGTGAAATGATGAGAAGGCAACAAATGATCCAATGCAAGTTTATATCACGCAGCAGTTTGAAAGTAACCAAGAGAACAACTTACTTCTTACTCTTTATCTCTATTTCCAACAAATAGAGCACTTCAAGTTGGGATAATATATGACAACGTGTTTTAGTTAGAGAACAAAGGAACAATTGAACATGCGTAAGCTCTTTGCTGGACAAGTCTAACTGAGAACGACCACCGAAAAGCCTAACTAAATATCAGAGCTTACTGAGATATCGTCAGCTGACCTGTCCTATGTTTCAATATGAAAGAGTGCAATCTACTGGACTCACGGGAGAACAATAAGAAGAAATACAGATTTTCCTTTAAGGAGGGAAAAATGGTGCTGTATCGCTCCCTTGTGAGTGTATGTGAGGGATTGCAAAGAAAATTGAAAGGGATGCTCTGATAAAAGAAAGCGCTTTGAAATATTCTTTCATTTGAAGCAAATAGTAATTTGTGAGAATGCTGTCTCAGCGTAAAATACAGTTACACGTGCATTTACAGCAATGTTGGTTCGATAGAGGAGAAGCTGTGACATAATTTCATTTAGCACAAAATTGTTATAACTCATCCCTATGTTTGTAAAAAAACAAATAAAAAGCATGTATATAATGCAAGTATAATGGAAGTCTATGGTGGAAGGCATAGGAATAAATTACACATTTTAATAAAGTCTAGCTACAAGACTATACACTACTGTTTAAAAGTTTGGGGTCAATAATTAAACAAAAATTGCATTGCATTAAGTTTATCAAAAGTAACAGTAAAGATTTTTATAATATATTAAAAAAAATCTATTTCAAATAAATGCTGTTCTTTTGAACTTTCTATTCAATAAAGAATAATGAAAAAAAAAGTCAATTTCCACAAAAATATTAAGCACCTTTACTATCACAGGAATAAATTACATTTTAAAATACATGACAGTTATTTAAAATTGTGATATTTGTGTTATACAATATCACTGTTTTAATGTATTTTTGCTGCCTTGGTGACTTCTTTCAAAAACATTAAAAAATCTTATCTACCCCAAACATTTGACCAGTAGTCCATGTGCTCCTGTCATGACCATGTAAAGCCAGCAAGGATTTACAGAATGATTTAGACAACAGCTCAAGAATAAAAAATAAAAAAAAAATACAAACTTCAAATTTTTGTAAATTTTTTTTTTTTCATTATAAACTGAGGAATGAGTCAAAACAATTTTCTATATCAATCGAGAGCTTAACGTGTATTTAACCCAAAAATCATTTAAAACTCCCGTATAACGGTCAATCTGTTTGTTTACAACAATCCTGTCATTTCTAAACAAAGGCGAAGAGCGCTCTGTCCATGGTTTTATTCCTAGTTTGAGAAAACCAAAATGATAATAATTGAAATACTTATCACAGCTTCATCAGTAATAAATAGAGCGCAATGCACGATGTTGAAAATGTTTTCTTTTATGCGAAAGTGAAAATACTTTGCAGTGCAAATGCTTTGCAAAAAGGGAACTCAATTAAAATAAATATTTTTTTCAAAAACAAATGATGACGTCATGTAATTATGTGAGATAATTCATTCCTTTATGGTAGGACTTTAGGATTTAAGAGGCTTGTTGGATGCTGATCGGTTCAGTTCAGTTAAAGGGTCTTTAATCTTCAGACTTTTCTCATAGGAACGCATACGACGTGATTCATTTCAGCCACAATAAAACCAGAAAAAAATAACTATACGCATAAAATTTAAATGAGGTTAGAGAGTATCAAGGGAAAAGGATCAAGCAATATAGAAAATATAAAACAGGTCAAATCAATTAAAGAAACAACAGCTTCTATCAAAAGATAGTGAATGTTTATTCTTTGCCTTGCTATTGTTCTCTCTGTATGTTGTTGCATTTCATCAGTAAAGTCCATGTTTGGGTGGGTGCGTTTAGGCTCACATGATGGCGCAGCACTTGCAGGGTTGTTTCTCCTTGCTCTTGACCTCAGCAGCGCCCCCTTCTGGCTGTCCCGACTCTCCTGCCGCCTCTTCAGCCTTCGGTGGCTCTGCTGGGCTGCCGTTAGAAGGTGCCTGCTCCTGCATGGTGTCACTGGTGGTGGTGGTCTTGGCATCTCCATCCTCTATGACGACCACCTCGGCCTTCACAGTCGTGCTTTCCTGCCCCAAAACCTTCTTTGTTTCATCCTCGTCCTCCACGCTCTGGTAACCCATGAAAACCATCGTAACTGGGTTCTCCGCACTGGCCCCGCCCACTTCTGTCTGAGGTGTTGCGGGTTTCGGTTCTACACCTGTGATCTCCATTACGGGGGTGGAGCCGGCTGCACCTGGGACTACATCTTTCTCAACCTTCTCCACTTTCTCGGCCTGCCCTCGCTCGAGTCGTGGCGTAGTCTTGCCGCTCTCGCTCATGGTCACCTCATCAGCTTTGTGGAGGAGCTCATCCACCTCTGAAGAGCTGAGCTGGTGAACGCCATTGGTCACTGCGCCGTCCACACTGCGCACTTCATGCACCACTGCATAGAGAAAAATAAGGCACATTTCAGTGAAACCCTGACTGACTGCCCTATATCTCAAATTGACATGACACCCCCTAGAGCAATATCGACCCTGAACATTTGTGGGTCAACGACAAATTTGAGTGTCTAAAATCAATTTTAAAAAAAATCCTTTACCTTGTTGGTTTCATATGGTTGCCTAATTTAATCCATCACTAAAGGTCAAAATATCTGATATTTAACAAGACTTAATAATAGGTTTTCTTTTAATGAGGAATTTACATCATTAAATTATCAGGACAGTTGGATCATTTGAATATTCCAAAAAAATCAACATCAAAATTAATTTTAATTTAGAAATTAAAAGCATGTCAAAATGTTATACGTATAAATGTATTTTTTTAAATGTATTTTTACATAAATTAATCGATTCAAACAAAAGTGAGTGTCATGTCACTGACCCTTAAATCATCTTTCAGATTATAATACAGCACTCATGCCTTACTTGACAATGCCTATATGAATCCTTTATAAAGTGCTATAGGAAACATTGCAGCACATTTGGCACATATTAACTGCAGGTTTGCTGTAGTCAACAATTATTATTATTTTTTATTTTTTTATTTTTTACAAAAGAAGGATTTATAATACTGTGACTTAATCATTTCTGCTGAAAAACCACTATTTTATTCTAACCATTGACGAACGCATGGAAAGCATACTGTGCACAGTTAGTGACTACTGTTAGCATCGTCTTTAAAGGTTGTGTGCCAAGTGCACTTCAATTGCTAGAAGTGCTCACTTGACTGAGGGGATCAAACACAGGGAAAGAGTGGCAAGCAGTAAACAGAGCAGGAAGCAAGCAGTGCTACTGGTGTTAGCATTAGCAGCTAGCAGCATACGGTACAAACAAATACAGTAAATTAAGTATTGTAATCATCCATAAAACCTTGGAGAATATATTTAATTTATAGCTTTATTGTATAACAACACATTTTAACTGGGAAGGGTGAAGTCAGGCTGGAGGCTCATGGCTAAGCTTGGCGGCAACATACCCAAAACTAGCAGTCAAGTTGCAGGGTGACCAAATTAGAGTTTAATGAATGATATGGTCTTTTGTTCTCTACCGGGAAATAATGATGTGTCATTGTCAATCAAAATCAGGAGTTTGTGGTAACCCTGCATCTAAAGCCATGTTTAGATGAACTTATTCCTTTACGAGAAGTGGTCAGCATTTGATGACATATCCAGTGTGTTACTTTTACTAAAAAAATGTAAGATTCATATGTGCTAGTTGACACTAACTCATCCTCATGTGGTTCCAGACCCATTTGACTCACTTTCTTTAGTGGAACCCAAAAGAGATGACCAAGCTACTCTTCTCCATACAATAAAAACATGCAGGGCTCATCAAACTCCAAAAAGAACAAAAAGTACCATAGTTCATATGACTCATGGATCATTGGAAAAATGTGCCTGCCTACGTTGGTTGTTGTATTGCGGCTGTTTGGAATTGAAATGTGCGGTGAGTGGCTCTGAAAGGTTAATGCTCTGTTGTGTTTGAAAATAAACCCTAAACCTAACCAATAGTTTTAATGAAAGCAAACGTGAGATTAAAATGCATTTGCTGAAGCAACCACACCATTTTAACTTGCTGCTATAAGTCTTTGAGGTCTTTTCTCATGACTCATATTTCACAGGACTCATACCCGAGCGCTTCAGATCGTAAGTGCAGTGCTCTACCAGTCCCGGATGAGCTATTAGAAAATGTACTACATCGGAAAAGCCATACATAAGGAGCTCTATGTGACGCACACATCAAAATGTATGTTTACAGCATGCTCTTAGTGTTTTGATGTCATACATAGTATTGTGCAAGGAACTGTCTTTATTAATATATAATCTGCCCCTGTAATCATAATTTGTTTGAAAAGGAATAAAACTCTGTGTTTTACTGCCACTAATGTTCATTTCGTCTGGAAACCAGTTAATTGTATTGGTGCGCTTTAGGAGTTTTGCAAAGATGTAGATATAGAGGCACTTTTTTTTTCACTGATACATGTTGTCTTAAATGTCAAACGCCTGTAAATACATGTAACCCTCATCCTTCCTTCGCACTTTGTAACACATCTTTCCCTCGCGGATCAAAATGACCCAAAGCCCTAAAATTATACTTTTTTTTTTTCTCAGAAAGCTTATTTTATGTAATTTTTAACCTTTATTTTTTTTATGCAATTTTTTGTGAGATTTTTCTGTTCTTTTTATTTTATTTACTAAATTTGATCAATAAATAATAAATAAATAGTAATTTAAGCATATTCCTCACATTATTTCAACAAATTCAAAATAACTCACAATTTCATCCCTTTTAATTCAGCTCAAAATATCTTACATTGGTTGTCTTTGCCCATCTCTTGTGGAAAAAAATGTATATAACATGATATTTCATGACTCATGCCACTAGATGGCCTTATAGCTCTATTTGGAGCAAATGAGCTGTTCCGCTGGGTCCTAAAGTCAGTATGTATTCAGATACAAATGTAGACATTATTAAAAAATTGGTGAAGTTTTAGCATTTTTACTTAGAATTTTGAGCATTTTTAGGTTTTTCTTTGTACTGAAGCATTCCTCGCATTCCATTCATTCCTAAAGAGGTCAAATTGACCCGTGAGGGAAGGATTTGTTACTTTTTTTAAATTCAACCACAAAAACTCCTCAAATCCATTACATTTTTTTGGTGTATTCGTGGTTCAAGTGCGACAAATGTCCTAAGGGTCTTGGACCCCTCTGATGAACACTCAATTAATTTCGGGTCAAAATGACCCGAGGGAAAGATGAGTTAAATATACCACCTGGAAGTGCATCATGCCAGGTTTGACGTAAATCATGCTGAATGGAAATGGTTCTCACGTGTCACATGACCCACAACGACACAGCAAACTAAAATATGTGAAAGTTAGAATAAATTATGAGAGCTACGGAAGAAAGAAAGTCATACGGGTTTGGAACAACACAAGGGTGTAAGATGACATGTTTGTGTAAAACAACATAAACACCAGGTCTGGTCAAATAAGATAAACTACAGCTGATGTTTTATGTAAACATGCAGACTTCTCGTAAAGTAGACATATCTAGCAAAGCCACGCACGCCTGCTCTATCGCCAGCCACCTTTCTGTTCATCCTCATAGACCTTGACCCCCTGCAGCGAGAGGTCTTTGGGGAGCAGTGTGTTAGTGGACAGGACTTTGGTCTTTCCAGTCACCAGGTCCTTCTCAACAGTGATCTCTACGGAGTACATCGCTGCAGTGCCAACGAAAGAACACATTACAATCCTGCAATGATGTGCTGTCACACTCACATGAAGTCATTTAACACACACACATACGCACACTTGTTTGGGACCAGTTGCTTTATTCAAACAACCAGTGAAACAAGACTTTCAGAGACTGTCTGTTGAGCACTATGACAACAATGACACAGAGTGAGGTGTTGAAAGACAATATGACTGATAGGCACTACATGGTGCTGTTTGTGTTCTAATGTAATTCATGATAAATAATATTAATTGAATAATCAGAACTTAGAAATTCCTTATAACCAGTTTTATATATATCTTTATAACAAAATACAAAATAAGTAATTAAAAGAAGATTTCACAATACTATTGTTGAGTATTGGAGAAATATTTAAAAACATAAAAAACAAATTATATATGATATTTAATCATTTGTTGCGTTTTTATTGTATATTTTTGAGGTTTATTCTAAATATCTCAATGATAATTTAAGATTTTCCTAAAGTCATATAATCAGAACTTAGAAATTCCTTACCTGTTGTATATTTTTATACAAAATATATAATATTTAAAATTTTAAAAATACTTTTATATATATATATATATACACTCACCGGCCACTTTATTAGGTACACCTGTCCAACTGCTCGTTAACACTTAATTTCTAAGCAGCCAATCACATGGCGGCAACTCAGTGCATTTAGGCATGTAGACATGGTCAAGACAATCTCCTGCAGTTCAAACCGAGCATCAGTATGGGGAAGAAAGTTGATTTGAGTGACTTTGAACGTGGCATGATTGTTGGTGCCAGAAGGGCTGGTCTGAGTATTTCAGAAACTGCTAATCTACTGGGATTTTCACGCACAACCATCTCTAGGGTTTACAGAGAATGGTCCGAAAAAGAAAAAACATCCAGTGAGCGGCAGTCCTGTGGGCGGAAATGCCTTGTTGATGCCAGAGGTCAGAGGAGAATGGCCAGACTGGTTCGAGCTGATAGAAGGGCAACAGTGACTGAAATAACCACTCGTTACAACCGAGGTATGCAGCAAAGCATTTGTGAAGCCACAACACGCACAACCTTGAGGCGGATGGGCTACAACAGCAGAAGACTCCACCGGGTACCACTCATCTCCACTACAAATAGGAAAAAGAGGCTACAATTTGCAAGAGCTCACCAAAATTGAACAGTTGAAGACTGGAAAAATGTTGCCTGGTCTGATGAGTCTCGATTTCTGTTGAGACATTCAGATGTTAGAGTCAGAATTTGGCGTAAACAGAATGAGAACATGGAACCATCATGCCTTGTTACCACTGTGCAGGCTGGTGGTGGTGGTGTAATGGTGTGGGGGATGTTTTCCTGGCACACTTTAGGCCCCTTAGTGCCAATTGGGCATCGTTTAAATGCCACGGCCTACCTGAGCATTGTTTCTGACCATGTCCATCCCTTTATGGCCACCATGTACCCATCCTCTGATGGCTACTTCCACCATGTCACAAAGCTCTAATCATTTCAAATTGGTTTCTTGAACATGACAATGAGTTCACTGTACTAAAATGGCCTCCACAGTCACCAGATCTCAACCCAATAGAGCATCTTTGGGATGTGGTGAAACGGGAGATTCGCATCATGGATGTGCAGCCGACAAAACTGCGTCAACTGTGTGATGCCATCATGTCAATATGGACCAAACTCCCTGAGGAATGCTTCCAGCACCTTGTTGAATCTATGCCACGAAGAATTGAGGCAGTTCTGAAGGCAAAAGGGGGTCCAACCCGTTACTAGCATGGGGTACCTAATAAAGTGGCCGGTGAGTGTATATATATATATATATATATTTAAAAACTTTTAATATATTAAAAAAACATTTTTTACATATATATATTTTTGTCAATATTTTTTAAATATAAAAAAAAAACAGATACATATCATTATGTAATCATTTGTTGTATTTTTTTTTTGTAACTCTATCATGGAAAAAAAATGATAAAAGCCATGTTAACCTAATCCTTTATTAATGTAACTTCCAAAAAAAGCAGTTTCTATTAGATGTTATTCTGCTCACACACACACACACACACACATGCAAACACACATCAACTGAGAGAACAGAGAATCAGAAGACAAGATTAGATGAAATCAGCACAATATTAGTACGTTTTTCAACACTGACAATAGGACAATATTTGTGAGTTTGAAACCCACAAGAGTTTATCAACTTTGTTTTGTGGTCTAGTCATCTATTTCAGTCAAAAAACTGTACATAAATTCAGAGCAGAATTTAGACCTAAACGCTTTTTTTTGGCAGGTCTTTAGTTTTAATCAAGAGATCTAAACAGCACCTTTCATGTATCTGACTCTAAAACACTGATTCAGCAATTTGTTTTGAACATATCAAAATTAACCAAGAGGCATTCAAGTGCTTCTAAACAGACACATAAGGTTTTAACAATGAAACTTTTCTCCAAATATCTCAATCTGTTTCTAATTAGATTACCTGTGCATTTGAATTGGGTAGAAAAAGAAAATTCTAAATATACTATTTGGGTGTATATGCCAGTGTTTAGGACATTTCCCTAGTTCGGCAAAGGCACAGTTAAGGGTCTGAAAGGTTTGAGAACCACAAATCTACTGCAATTAGACATTAATAGGCTAATAGGTCTAAAAGTGTGCTTTTTTGAGCCCAAAGAGAACCTTAACTCTTATTTTGTGCCTCTTTCCATCAGTATGTGGTATTTATCTCAGAATTAGAGAAGTAAAGGGTAAAAACAGCAGGAAGAGTGTGTGATCTCTGCGTGAGCTATGGGTGGACCAACACTCACCTGCTCTCATCATGTCAGAGACACCTCCGGATTTCTCCAGACGAGGGCTGACGTGAACTTTGACCTCTAATTAGGGTCATGAATGAGGACAGAGAAGGACAGAGAATGATAAAAAGGTATAAGAAGTGAGAGTGTGGAACAGGAGGGAGAGAGGGAGGATGGGAAGGAGTACTAGACACAAGACTGACTGCAATGTCCTTTACCCCAGTGGATACATGACAAGGATAACTCCAGAAACTGGCCTTTTGGCAGTGTAACTTATAATTAGCTGTTTTTGAGATTTCAAAGAGTGTGGAGAAAGAATTCTGATCAAAGGTTGATCATGAAAAGGCTGTCATTAGAGGTGTTTCTGGTGTCAGAGATGGTGATGTTACCTTTTACACCTTTTACAGAGTCTGTCACAACCTGCAAAAAGAGAGAGAAAAATTAGGTTGATCCAATAGATACATGTTTGTATTAAATATGAACTATCCAAATACAGTCATCTGTCAAATAAATTACTTTGCTATTGTGAAGATAGACTTTTCTGTTTACTACAAGAGTACTTTTTCAGATGAGTGTTAAGTGAGTCTAAACCAGAAACATTCAGGTTAGTATCTGTGCTTGGGTTTCCACAGTTATCAACATCGTAAATCTAGTAAAGATTTTTTAATATATATATTTATTTTAAATGAATACATATTTATAGCGCTACATTTTGTCTTGTATTACCTTGGTGTTTCTAATACAATGAAAAATGTGACATCTTTTTTTCAAGTTCTAACTGCTGTAATCAATCTCTCGATATTTTTTCCCTCTTTTGGAAAGTAAAATAAAAGCAATTATAGATTTGTTTTCCTTTTGATATTGGAGCAAATGGGAATACAGAAATTATATTAGTTGTCATCTTCCGTTTATAACTATGGAAGTTTACCCAACTATGATGACGACTTCTGCTTCTGAGAACCCCAGAAATGTAAAAATTTAGATTGCCAAAGATTCCATTTAGATTCGCATACAACTTTCTGCAGTGTAATATCTTAAAATGTGAATATGTATCCTAAAAATATGGATTACTTTGTTTAAAACTATAGTAATCTAAAAACTGGGAAATAAAACCATTTAAATATATATTGTGTAAAAATTATGAATGCCCCGTTAACTTCCTGAAGTGTCATTTCCACCTCATTTTTTTTACTTAGTTTATTTGTTTACCAATGACTCGAGACAATTTCAGTAAAGACAAGAGCATGCTTGAGGTGAAATATGAGATATGTATTGTGTGAAGAAAAATAAAAATCAAGCTACCTGTAAACACTGTATAACGTGTAAGCTTATTATAGGTATTTTCCAATCAAGCTGTAATTTAGTCAAATAATATTTTATTGTGCATACACATAAAATGCTAGCTATACAAGCAGCCATAATAAGACAAAAGAGCATGAAGCACAGAATGCTATTTAACACAATACATAATTGGAGATGTGGGAATTTTCATTACTTTCAGAAAAAAAAGACACAATTGTCATGTGATATGTATACTCTATTGGACATTGTTAAATAAACATTTGTAAAACTAGTCTGTGTTTTAAGGAATTTTAGCTTTTAAACATATACCCATAGTTTAATACACACTTCAACTGGTAAAAAAAACCCGATTCAGTTCAAGTCAGAATGTTTTGAAAAGCTCTGACTTCTCTCATTCTCTGTCATTTATAAGAACAAAAATGGCAGTTGCCTCAACAGTTCAAGACAGTTAGCTACCTCAATGCATATTTCATGTGCTCCAAGAAATTGTTGAGATAAGCAAATACTTATTTTTGCTGTCATCAACGACAAAGCTACGTGGATCTATTTTTTCCATTCTAAGGGTTTATATAGAAACTGAACATTTGGCCTTGAACAACTCTAAGTTGTCGTTTCTTAATTCTTAACGGTAATTCCGGCATACATAAAAAGCACGTTTATCTGAACATTTGGAAATGTATTCAAATGAACACATAAACTGTAAGCACTAGAGGCCAACATGCACTGGACAGTGACATGATGTTCTTTAGAGGATATTGACCACAACAGAAAAGTCCAATTTAGAGAAAATAATGTGTTATAGCAGCGTTTCTGCCGTTGCTATGGAATTCCCTCTGAATGCAGAACAATAACATTTCCAGTGAGTGCAAAAGTCAGTCAGTTGTGAATGTTTCGAGCATGCTGCTTGAGTGAGACAGATTTCTGCACTTTAAGCAGTGATGCCCTTAATCAAGATGGCCTTTGTGTAGCCAGACATGAGACGGCCCCCTATTGTGTGTCATGCTTCAATAGAAGCCTTGGTATCTCCTGCTGCCCGGTTTATGGGTTAGAAAGAGCTGCTGGTCAGAACTCACCATTTTCTCTACTGTCACGGTGTTGACTTCCTGTACTGCGTCTGACAGGTTCTCTTTGGTGGATGTTGCAGACAAACCTGTCTCTAGCTCTTCCAGCTCTCTTTCCAGTCTGGGGTCAATAGAGGGAGAGACAGAGGAAAATAAAAGATGGTTATTAAGTATCTTATTTTTATATAACCAATCACAAGTCTTGCACAGTCAAAGAAAATAGCTTACTTCTGCGTTGCAAGATAAGGTTTCGTAATGGGAATGGGTTTATCTTAAGGAAAAACATAGTTGTTTCTACAATTAATAATATTCATTTTATACTACGGGGCTGTTCAATGCTTGAATCTGATTGGTTAACAAACATTTTAAGGTGTGCAATTATTTTCAGGGAAACGCACGGCTAAAGTAGTTCCAGGCTGATCTTAAACAAATTACATGTTCCATATCACTTCGCCAAATGATTTCAGATATTTTTAAAGGTCCATACAGCCTACCACAGCAAAAGAACCAAAACCCACAACGACACTAGCCAAACAAATAAATATAGTATATAGTAAACAATACACTCTTAAGACAAATGGTTCTAAACAGTACCAAATTAGGGTTCTTTGGCTTGTAACAATAGCAGAACCCTTTTTATAAGCTTCCATAAAGAATCATGCTTTGAAAGTGCTATATAGAACCTTAATGGTGTTATAACCTTTTCAACAATATTTATTTTCATTACTATTAGTATATTATCTTCATATTGTTAATATTATTTTTTTAATACATTATTTATTAATATTGGTTTTTTAGCCCTCTATCTGCCTGATCTTATATCTTGTTGCTTCTATTTGGGTTTTACATTTTTAAAAAACCAGCATGTTCTTGTTCATGTACTTTTATTTTTTATTGACATGGCAGATTGTAGCAAAAATGACAGTGCTCTAATAACAGTTGTTAGCTGAATACATTAATAAATAACAATTGACATTGAACACGATATAGATGTAATGAAGACCAAGTTCCAGTGAAATATCTTCACAATCCTCTACGATGTCTTTACGTCCTTCATTATGTGTGTATTCTGAGCAGTTTCTCTCTGCAGATGATGAGGTTATGGCATGGAACAGCATCTGAAATAAACAATTGAGTTTAATGTTACACTGTGTCTCTTCCATTTGATTATGTAAAAACAATTGTGTTCATGAAGGCCAAAATTAGCAAAAATGGACAGAATGAGGCCTTTACCATGTTAAAAGGAAAAAGTGATATAAAGTCTCTGTAAAGTCAAAATTAAGTATGTGTTTTGAGTTTGTCACACCACAGAAAAATGTGTTATTAGCCACCCAGCCAAATTTGAATGATAAAAAAAGCCAGCAAGTACATAAAATAAGCTATCAAAATCTTGAAAAAATGAGCAGTAATCTCTGCTCTCAAACGCTGGGGGCGTGTCCACTGGCTGCGCTGAAACCACGCCCACTCGCGGGAAAGCTGCCGTCGTCGACTCGCCACACTCAATTCTACAGCCGGAATGGATGCTCGCACGGTGGGCACGCACTGCTGAATGGCACCAGTTGTCCGCGCGACGGGAGGATGCTGAGGCGGGAGTCGGTTCGGCCCCATTCACCAGTAACAGCGGATTATCAGTGAATGTCTCAGTTGTCTCCGACGAAAGTTTATAAAACTATCCCGTGTAAAATGATTACTTACAGAGGCGGGTTTTGGCGGTGATCCTCAGCTCTCCATCAAGGTTGGCTCTTCACAAAATTAATTTCCGTGACGAAGGCATTGCTAGTAGCTAGCAATCTGTAGGCTGTGTTACTAATAATAGTACTGACAGTAACTCGCGATTGAGCGGCAAACTGATGTGAATGTGCTCTATAATATTGTTAGGAGCGGCCAGCCTCAGGGGCTCCAGTGCGTCATCAAGTAGGGGCGTGTCCAGGAGCTCAAGGGCAGTGCGTCATCGAGCCCTGTTTTAGCCCCGCCCAGAAAATCCGGAAAATAGCAATGGTGAAAAACTGTTTAACGATCTAACTCCACAATTCAGTACTTCACAGTTCACAGTCTTTGTAATATGTTTTAAGCAATACATTTCTAACATTTATAATGTGTTTAGAATTTTTTTTTGAAATTGCCTTTACAGGGACTTTAATGTTTTTTTTGTGACTGGGTATGTTTAGGCATAAAGTAAAAAAATCAAACAATATGGATCATAAATTCCATATCTTTGTGGAGAAGAGAAGATGAGTATCCTTAACTGAACAGAGCTGCTCACACTTACATGTTCTGTTAAACTAAAAGAGAAAAAGACATGATTGTTAGGAAATGATTGTTAAAATTTTTAAAGTTATAATTTATAGACATTTTAAGAAAGAAATCATTTACCTGTTGAGAGTATGTGACAGTCTGTGTAGTAACTGTAGTTGTATAGCTGAGCTCCAGAAAATCAGTAATAATAAGGAGGCTTTGACAGTTACAGATTTGAAAAACAAAAAGGCGGGAATAAAGAACCCTAATCTCTAACACAAAGAACCATTTCAGCATGACCCTAAAGGGTTCTTCAGGACGATACGGTACTATATAGAACCGCCACTCAAACGCACACACGATGTAAACGTGTTGCCAGCGCCGCTTTGACGATTTTATCAATAAAATAGTTTAGCAACTTAAAAGGTATGTGACATTTCTCACTAACAAGGTAATACCGGCACTGTTCTTAGAGCAAAATACATTTACAGTTTCGATATTAGTCGAGATGCTGCTGCCGAACACTGTTGAGAGACGCACAGTACTCTGGTAATTCACACGCTTAATATCTATCGTCTCCCCTCTCTCTCTCTCTTTCTCTCTCTCTCTCTCTCTCTCTCTCTCTCTCTCTCTGTAATAACTGCATTAAACTACTATCAGTGGCTGAAGCCTCAGTTACTAGCTCTAAAATGACTTTTTGGAATTAGCAACGGAGGCTTGGGATTAAATGCGTAAAGTAGTCCTATTTTTCTAATAATTCAACGGCCCATTGTCAATTAATCCTTTCTTATTATATATCTGCACCAATTAAAATCTGTTCTCTTCATTATTTACAATTATGTACACATGTATTAACACATTTTTAGGTTACAGGACAAAACACTTTCACAAAGTTAAAGGACCTGTAGCAATTCAAATCTGTTTTCACAAATCTTGATTTTTCACGCCACACCTTTATGAGAGGGCCTTCCACACCAGGCCTTACTGGCATTGGCTGTTTACTGGCATGATTCACTGGTTGGCATACCAGTTCTGTGCCAGGAGCCCTAGCAGCCAGAGCAGAGATTTAATCAGGGAATGGAGATCCAGACAGACTGCTCTGACCCATGCCACTTTTTCACCATTAGAATTAAACTGAGACAAATCACATAAGAAAAATCTTGGCCACTAGATCCATATTACACAGTCCAGGCTGATGGATCCCACATTAGGGACTCTAACCGCAGCTGGACTGAAAAACAGAGGCAGGATACAGACATCTACTTCTGTTTACTAGTCCTTTTATTAAAAGTGTCTCCTTTTATAGTTAAATGCAACTCTTTATTGCACTGGTGTGACTGGTTTACCTAAGAATGGTCTCCTCAAGACCTCTGGTTTTGGCCTCGTCTTCCCGCAACTGTTTTGTAGTCTCGTCTTCCTCCGGTCCTGCAGAGGGCGCACCGTCTAGCAGCCATCTTTCCCTCAGTGCCTTTGACTACAAGAAAATGCACATTTTCTGTAAGCAAGGAATACTCAAATGACCTCGTGCATTTGTCAAAATGTGCAATATACAACAGAATATACTCTGGGTAAAACTGTATCCCATAATGCAACCTTCTGTGAAACAATGTAACAAATGATATAGAAGCAATCATTACTTTTTTTTTTTATTCATTGATTTTATCTTATTTCAATTAATCCAAATGTTTCCACCAAATGTCATTTTTACATGCGGAATATATATATATATATATATATATATATATATATATATATATATTTTTTTTTTTTTTTTTTTTCTGAGCGGTCAGTTATGCCATTTAATTTAAAAATATTTGAGCATTGATTGCTGCAACTGACCAATCAGAATCAAGTATTTCAAGAGAGCTATGTAACAACGTTTCACATTGTATACTGTTTTTTATTTTTTGTAAATCGTATGCAGTATATAGTATAAGTAAACAGTATGCTTGTATTCCATTTTGAACACAGCTAAATACACTACTGGTCATCATTACAAACATTACAATTTTTAATGTAATGTGAAAAAAGTCTCCAATGCTCAACAACGCAACATTTATTTAATCAAAAATACAGTAAATACAATAATATTGTGAAATATTACAATTTAAAATTACATTTTTAAATATTTTCTGTGATTTCAAAGCTGAATTGTCAACAGTCATTATTCCATTTATCAGTGTCACATGACCCTTCATTCTAATATTATGTGCTCAGGTATCAATAAATTATTACTGGAGCTCAATGATTAATAATGGTTCTTATTATTATCAATGTCAAAAACATTTTTGCTGTTTAATATTTTTGTGGAAACCATGATACAATTTTAATCTATAAAGATCAAAAGAACAGCATTTTTTTTTTAAATAGAAATGTTTTGTAACATTATAAATGTCTTTACAAAATATTACTTACCCCAAACCTTTGAAAGATAGTGTTTTACAGTGATCACAGAAACAGAAAGTTGCAACATTTTCAACATTGATAATAATAAGAAATAGAGTAATGGCTGCTGAATGGCAAAAAGCTTTTGCATCACAGGAATAAAGTCATTTTAAAATATTTTAAAATAGAAAACAGTCTTTAAATTGCAATAATATTTCACATATCACTGTTGTTCAACTGTATTTTGATCAAATCGTTATTGTATATATTCTTTACCAATGCAAACACAGATTTAGGGTAAAGATGGTGTTGTTACAATGAAGTTACAATGTTGTTACAATCGTTTTAACCAATATGCCCCAATACAGGTCTTGACTGGTTTAGAGAAGAAATAAAAATCACACTTGGTAAAAGAAAAGAAAAGAAAAAAGCTAGATTTAGTGACTTAGATTTGGAAAGTTATAGAAAATTTCCATGGCAAAAAAAAAAAAAAAAAAAAAAAAAATATATATATATATATATATATATATATATATATATATATATATATATATATATATATATATATATATATATGTAGGCTATAGATAAAAGTGATTCATGCATCAGTTGAACAATGATGATAGTGACACATGTCCCAAAAGAGTTTGAATTATGTTATCTCCAGCCTTTGGAGATCTCCTATGAGAGAAGAGATCTTTACTAACCAAATAGTGCACAGCTCTTGCTCTCAGAGCCTGAATTATTCAGTTAATTGGCACTAAAATCGAAGTGTTGAGCTGGCACTAAGCTGCCTTGGCACCAAACCAGGCACTGCTCTGATTTACTCTCTGAAACTGATCTTACCCTCTTCTTGACTCTTAAAGCCTGATGGTTGCTTAAACTTATATGCCAATTTGTTTGCCATTTACAAACTGCATAAGATGTGCATGTGTATAGGCTGTCCTGTACCCAGCCCATTTCCATCAACCATTAAAAAAGTCTTCAGCTAAGTACAGTTCCTTCAAAACTTCAGCAATATAGACTGGGCGGGGCAATAATGCTGCTATGCAAACCTTTTACAGTAGCAAATCCAAATCCAATCATTTTTGCTGCTTTTAGTATACTGCAGTCCTAGCATCATTTATGTTGATTAGTTCTTTTATTGCAATATATGGATATCTGACAGGCAGTCAAAAAAGAAAAATCATAGATAAGACTGAGCATTATGGAAGTGAGTTGTATTATTTGGTGGCTGTCCAGCCCCTAAAGGGCTCTTGGCATTAACTGCTAAATGCTCTGCAGGCCTCGGACATTCCTGCCTCTCCCAGCTGTTACTGATCAAACCTTTGAAGATGGCCGTCTTCTTCCTTTCTGTCAAGTCATAACATTCTTTATGTGCTAATACTACATTATATATTTTGATTCATGCATAATAGTTCATGAATACCCGTTCTGTCTTCTCTAAGCTATATTTCTGGGCCAATAGTTCAGATTTGTTCTTGCCCTTGCAGTTTTTTTTACTGATCTATAAAATTGTTCAGATTAATTTACAGAAATAAAAAAAAACTTACATTTTTCTTTATTTGTTTTTACCATTAATTATTTCATTGTTTGTTTGTTTTTACAAAAAGCAATATTTGTATTAATAAAATGTTTTTTTTATTATTTTATTATACTAAAATAACTAATAGTTATAATATTCACAAACATTTTATTAATAAAGTTTCTCATTGGCATAATAGCTGGAAACGATAACACTATGCAATTCCATGACAATAGAGCTGTAGATTAATATTAATGTTTATAGATATGTTGATATATTTTTTATAATAAGGAAAGATAATTTGTAACCAGATAATTTAAACTTCTTCCTCTTATCCAGCTACATAATATTACCTCGGTGAACATCTGAATATGATCAAGGAACATATGATGGTAAGTAGCACTGGTCTTTTAAAAATACTCAAATCACTAAAAGAGTAAGTAAATCATATTTTGAGTATAGGTCATCAGTGAGCATTATTTCTCTTTTATTCTTTCGTTTCTTTGTCTTCTTTCATCTCCTTTTTCATTTTAGTTTGAACTGCCACCTCCCACTCCCCAGAGACCCACTGTGGGAGAGCGTACTGACCACACTCTCTCTCTCACACACACACACACACACACACACACACACACACACACACACACACACACACACACACACACACACACACACACACACACACACACACACACACACACACACACACACACACACACCTCTTCACTGACACAATGCAATAAAAAATACAGGACAAAGCGCACAAGCGCCTGTGTGCTTATAGTGGCAGACCCAGTGTTTTCGAAAGTAAATGGATCCAGATTTTTAGGCAACAGATTAAAACAAAGAAATTTGTTGGCCTATTAGAGTTCACCGCTCTCGATCATGTGTCATGTGACCTGTGTTAACCTATCCCACTAATCAAACCACACCTAACCAATCCGCATCATTAACATCCTGTCAGTACATCCTTTAATCAGTCTGGAGTAACCAAAGAGCCAATCAAAACAGGGAAGCTTTGGAGCCAAAATACTGACATAGTATGAGTATGACACTTCATTCCGACACATAGGGTTTAGCAGGACTTGGCCAGAGGCCTAAAACTGCATAGCTTCATACCTCAATTGGTTTGAATTGTTCTGTATTTGGACAGAACCCTTTGGCCCCTATCTTAGATTGACAAATGCCTGCTCATATATCAGAGAGCATGTGTTTTCAGGACTCTCAGAGGCCCCTCCATACTTTTGCGACCTGCGGCCCATTATTCACCGGCTATTCATCTCTCTCTCTTTCTCTCCCTTTGCATTTTGCTGACTCTGAATGGAAGCTCCATAGAAACTGCTAATGAGGAGAGTTTTTGGATCTTATCTCTGGCCAGCACAGCAAAGTCTCTGAACCACAGCTGCTCTAATGTTGTGGAGCCTCAAAACACAGACAGAAAAAACACAGCTAGTTTCAACTTCCACAATAATTACAAGAAGGACTATCAATAATAATCATGATCCAATTAATTACAGCATAAGATGAATGAATACTCAAGTTAAATCACAATTAATCATATATATATTAGTATCTGCAGCCTCCAAAAGAAGATAATGCAAAAACATAACATCATTGTGGCAGAAGAAAGCATTACATGCCGCGAAAAAGCATCCACTTTACAATAAAGTCTCTCTGTCTCAAAATAGATTAACACAAGATGCATTTTGGTATTAATGTACAGATTCAAACCTATGCCACATGAGCACCAATTTTGGTGAAATAATGAGTTAAGTAAATGGCAAAAATCATTATTTGACGTTGTTAACAGTACAGGGAAACAATAAAATTGCAGTGTTATTATAGTATTATTTATTCATATTTTTAAGTTTTTAATTTTATTTTTTCAATTTTAGGAAATTTTGTTATTTGCCTCTGTCATTATTATTATTTAAATATTTCTATTTATCCTAATTTAGTTTTATTTCAGTTTTAGTAATTTTAGTACTATAATTTCAACTTTAGGTTTAAGACAACTTTTCTAATTCAACATGCTGGTGCTGCCTAAATAGACATACATAAATCCCGTCGCAGATCTAGGCAGGTGGAGCTGGGGAGGTGGAGGGTTTCAGAGGAACTCTGAACAATGAACCAGACTATTTAAATGTTGATCAAGATATCTCATTGGCTGCAGGATCAGCAGAGGCCAATCAGCTTGTGCCATGTGGTAATTAAGTGATTGCTTGCAGATTGCATGTAAAGAACCTATCAGCATGCGCCCTCTAGAGTTTCGTGATTGAACTAAATATTAAGTCAACCGGGTATATATGTATACAGAAAAAACATGCACACTGTATACATGCTGGACACTCAGGGGTGTGCGTTAACTCTTTTTGAACATACTGGTGCTACAGATGTTGAAAGTTTTGTAGCACAGGCCACACACTTATAGCATAATAAGTATAAAAGCCTTACCATTTCTGAAAACAACCATAAATAGTGCAGTTCATCATATATGCTATGTATGTTTGCTAATTATGTTATCAATCACATAAATAACCTGTTTTTAGGGCTGGGCGATGTAT